GGAAAGTTGGACCAAGAATTGAGAATATAAAGGATGAAAATATAAGAGGAAAGATGGAGTATGAGTTGAGAATTCACTTAAGGAATTGATGGGATTCACTTAGGAAAAAAAAGTGAAAATAGCAAATTAAATTTTAAAAATATAATAAATATAATAAATGGACAAGAATGTTTGAAACAATTCCCAGATGCTGATTGTCTTATGAATGCGTTAATTAGGTTTTCTACCAACAGAAGTGAATACTAAAAGTGTAGAGTTTTTCCTTGGCCCAGTGGAGCTAAAAGGTGAACATGATCAATAGTGAAAGGAGGCTTTCTGACCCCACTTATTTGCATGCCCTATGACCTTACTGCAGGAGCCATGTGGGCAGGGCCACACTCTGTGGCCCTGTGGCTCTGTGACTCTGTGTCACCCTGACTCCAGGAGACCTGCCTGGATGAGCAGAAGCTCATAGTAAAAGTTCTACAGTCCTGCGAGTCTCTATGACTCTGCTTCCCCTTAGAGTTTAACCAGAACCAAATATGGTAGATGAAACATGTTTTACATTTCCCCCTGACAAAGGCTTTAAAAAGGAGAAAAAAAAAATACTCCACTGACGATAGACTTAAAACTGTTCTCATGATAACGATGCAACCTCCTTAGAGGGATAAGCAGGAACCGCATGTAGAAGAAAATACCAAAGGATCAATGATAGGGTTACTCCGAGATGAGGACACTGCTTTCCAAAGGGTGCATCTGCAGGTGGCAGGATCCGTCAGACGTACAAGGAAGGTGCAGTGGAGTGCTTCATGTACTGTTTAAGACTGCCACAGACCTGCTGAGGAGCCAGAAACTGAACAGGAGTTCATACCGGGATTCTATTTATACAAAATGCTAGAAAAAGGAAAATGATAGAAATTCAATTAGGAGTGATAATTAATCAGAAAGGGATAAAATTAGAACTTTCTAGAAGGAGGACATGGTCTGTTTCTTGATTAGGATGATGTAAACATGATTGTATTTATTTGTTCAGACTCTTGCCCTGTACACTTATTAACGTGAGTTTATTTTTTAAACATATGTATTTTAAAATGTAAGTTATGTTTGTTTCCTTTTTTTAAAGATTATTTTTATTGAAAAGACAGATTTACAGAGAGAAGGATAGGAGAGAAAGATCTTCCATCTATTAGTTCACTCCCCAAGTGGCTGCCTGGCCAAAGCTGAGCCAATCTGAAGCCAGGGGCCAGGAGCTTCTTCCGGGTCTGCCAAATGGATGCAGGGTCCAAGGCTTTGGGCCATCCTCTGCTGCCTTCCCAGGCCACAAGCAGGATACAGCCGAGTTTCTTAAAAAGATTGATGGTATCTAAAGAACTTACTATTTACAAGAGAAATATGTGGTGGGATGAGAAGGTTAACGCTAGTTATTTATGTATCATAAACTGTAAAATACAGCAGATATGGCCAGCCTTGTGGTGTAACATGACACTGGGTGCCAGTCTGAGTCCAGGCTGCTCCACTTCCGATCCAGCTCCCTACCAATGCACTTGGGAAACAACAGCAGGCAGCCCAGAAGCTGCTCTGGCTCTGGCTCTGGCCTGGCCCTCTCTCCCCTCCCTCTGCCTCCCTGCCTTTCTCTCTCTCCTTTCTTTCTCCCTCTAATTCTGCCTCTCAAATAGATTTAAAAAAAATTAATACAATAGGTATTACTGACTTTTGAAATTTTATTTATTATAATTGAAAGTCAGAGTTAGATCTTCCTTCTGCTGTTTGTACTCTCAAATGATTGCAAAGGCCAGAGCCGGGCCAGTTAGAAGCTGGAGCTAGCAGCCTCTTCCGGGGCTCCCATGTAAGTGCAGGGGCTCAGGCACTCAGACCGTCTTCTGCTGCTGTGTCATCAGCAGGGAGCTGGATCAGATGTGGCACATATATAGGATGCTGGCACCACAGGAGGAGGATCACGGTGCCATGCACCAGGCTAGCCCACACTTCTTTTCTAAACAGTTACTGGTTTGGTTTTTATTTTAGTGGTAGTCATGATTATATTTCACTTCTCAGTATCTGCACTTAATAGACAAACCTAGCAGGAGTTGTTTTTTGTAAGGAATCAAGATGCAAAGGTGTGGTAAGAAGTACAGTGAATAACAGTGGCATCATTTTCTTCAAGAAGATTCTTGATTTTTTTTCATAGCTTCAGTGACACATTAGTCATGCAGTAGCATGTTATTTAACTTCAGGTGTTGTTAATTTCCTTTTTTTCTTCTTGTTGTTGACTTTGTTTTGTGACTTTTCACTTAAGGGGATGTTCAGTAACTGTGAAATGGAGACTACCTAGCAGCATCTTATTTAACTTCATGGCATTATAAATTTCTATTTTTCTTCCTGTGATTGATTTTTATTGTGGCTTTTCATTTAAGGAAATGTACAGAAACTGTGTATCATATCCAGATGTGAGGATACAATGCAGTATGCATCTCTACTTCCAGACCAAAGATGGACTCCCAATGAAATTGTTTACTATATCTTGACAATAGGATGCTGGACTCTGCCATTTCCATGCCCACAATGATGGACGTGGGAACTCAGTGAGGGGGCAGAGGATAAGGGAGGAGAGAAAGTAAATCCCAGGGCCTATGGAACTGTATCATAAAATGATAATAAGAAGAATAAGTACAATTTTAAAAAGTATGATGAGTAACTTTATCAGTATTCCTTGTTATCTCAAGAAGTAGGTGAAGCTTACTGAATGAATTCTGTGTTGAGGTCAAGCAAACTGACAAATAGTCCTTTTGTTAATGTCCAGATTACACATGCTGTTTCTTGATTATGAAAGAAAAACTAAAAAGGCAGTCAAGCTTACAGGCTGAGGACAGTGGCCTGGGAATTGGAAAGGGTACATATTTAGTCAATTAAGGCTGTGTAACTCGCTAGACATGGATTTCCTTGTCTGTAAAATAAAATGAATCACAGTAACTTCCATAGGAGTTAGAATGTGAGAATTAAAAATAAACAATGCCAGTGAAATTCTTAGAATAAGACCTGACTTAGTAAAAAGAGCTTCAAAAAGAAAATCAGGATGAGAGCAGACGTTAAGCCAATGTTAACCTTTTGAAATCTTGGCTTTTGAGCTTTTCTGTGTTCTTGCATGCATATCTACTCAATCCAGCATGTGTGTTTATAAAGTTATAAAATTGGGATAGTTTATATGAATTTATATTCTGCTTCATTTTTCCCACATACCTACACATACCTATTTCTCTTGATAAAAACTTTCGTAAGATCTTGAGTTACTTCCTTATTAGACACATTACTATTATAAATATTGCTACTTAAAGGGTTGGGTTGTTGAATTAAAGAAGTTTGACATGGCTAGGCTTCAGCACCCACTGGTGCTCACAAGAGCCAGAATGGGTGTGGAACAGACCAGGATAGGCCACACACCCACTGGGCCACATGAGAGCTGTGATTAGAGATGGGCCAGGCTGAACTAGTCTATACCATCCATCGATGAGAGCCAGAATGAGTGCGGGCCAGTCAGGCTAGGCTGCAGTACCCACCAATGAATGCCAGGACAAGGGGCCGGCCATGTCAGTCTAGGAAGCAGCACCTGCAAGATCGATTGCTGTGAGCAGGCCTGGGGAACTCCCCTGCTAGACTGCAGCTCCCTCTGGTGAATATAAGAGCTAGGACTCCGGGCAGTCAGACCAGGCTGGACTGTAGCACCTGTTAGCATATATGTGGGCCGGGTCTGGGGGAAGGTCAGAATGAGCCAGTCCACAGCACACACTGACATGAGTGAGAGCCAGGACAGGGTGCAGGCTGGGCCAGATTGGACCACAGCACCCACCAGTTCACATAAGGCCTTTTGCTGGGAATGCCCCAGCCTGGGCTAGGCTGCTTTGCCCACTGGTGACAACTGACCTGGGAGCAGGCTGTCCTAAACCAGGCTGCAGCACTTGCTACCAAATGCCAAGACTGGGAGCAAGCCATCTGAGTTTGGGCCACTGCACCTGTTAGCATGTACAAGATTCAGGTCTGGGAGTGGAGCTAGCAGTTGGGACTGGGGGTGGGCTGCTGTACCTGCTGGCATAAGAGAGGCAGAATGGGTGTGAGTCAACAGGACTAGGCTGCAGCTGGCAAATGCCAGGACTGGATGTGAGTCATTTAAGGCTTGACCTGGCAGATACAAAATCTAGTGCTGGAAACATGTGTGGCAGGGGAACTGTTCCTGCCGCTGGTGAGCACAAGAACCAGGGCTGGGGGAGGGTCAGGTAGGACAAGGCAATGGCACCTGTTGGTATATGTGAGGAATGAGTATGGGGGCAGAGTAGACTGAGCTAAGCTGCAACCCCCAGGGGTGTGCATGAAGGCCAGGTGGGATACAGGCTGGGCTGGGCAAGGCCACAGCAGAGACTGGAATGCACAAAGAGATTTTCTCAGCCCTGGAGCAATGAAACCAACTGCTTCTCAGAACTATCAGAATCATTCAGGTAACACCCTGGGAGCATCTTCCCCACATCTGGGGTCTCTGAGGCACAATCAGATGGCTAGTGTGACAGCAAGGAACACTTCCCCTCCCTCCACGTTGGATACCAAAAAAAAAAAAAAAACAGGAATATTGCCTTGTCCACCTTTCCCCATACCTGACTCTCCTCAACCTAATCAAAGGCCCACATGGACATGCATTTTAGAAGTTTGAAAAAAGAGCTTGAAAAAAATCTCAAGGCATTTTTTATTTTGAAGTTTAACATTGTATATGATTATTGATGACTGGTTCTGTTTTGGTGAACCGCTACAAATGCACCTTGCAGAGCTGCTTGTGTTGGGGCTCCGATCTCTGGAGTAGTGCCAGGAATGCACTAAGCATCCACAGTATTTGGCATGATAAATGAGTGAACATTGACGCTTTGTCTGCCACCTCTATGTCAGACAGGGTCAAGCCCAAGAGAACCCTTGTACGCGTACAAAGGTAAAGCTTTGTTGATTCGAATTCCCTCCCATTCTGTGCTTCTCCCGCAGTTCCTCCATGAGCTCCGATTTCCCACATTACAACTTCAGAATGCCTAACATCGGCTTCCAGAACCTGCCTCTCAACATCTACATCGTGGTGTTCGGCACTGCTATATTTGTCTTCATCCTCAGTTTACTGTTCTGCTGCTACTTGATTAGGTAATCCGTTTTCATTCTCTTATGTTAAACTACATACTTTTGCCCTCACACTTAAAAAATAAAGAGTAAATATGATAGCAAATTTTCAAAAATTAAGGTGGGCTGACATTTCAGTAATCTGTAAGTTAGTATTCAGTAAGACGCCTTTATGCATTCTCCAGTCCCATCTGCTGATTGCTTCACTCTAATAGAAAACTGGTCTCATTTATTTTTCTACCGTACTAACACCTGGTCTGGATACATGTATATCATTGTCTTCCAGACTTGGCCAGCTTTCACAGATCTGAGATTGCTTTCAAGAACATGCTGCGTCGTTGTTAGCAATTAAGGATTGGAAGACAATGTTCATAGCGAGAGCCAACCCTTAAGGCTACTTGTGGCTTCAAGATTTTAAGCTTCCATGTGTTGTCAACATTCAGTGTCCAACACTGAGTGTCCGACACTCAGGTGTTTATCTGCATAAAACACTAAAATCAGTGGTGAGGGGCAAACCCCACTTGAAGGAATAATAGATTTGGCCAGTAAGGATTGGCTGACTCATAATTATTGAAGCAAGTATTTTTACATTTTAAGTTTTTTAATAGAGCCTATTTTTTATAAAGATTTATTCATTTATATATTTGAAGGTTACACTTACTGGGGAGGGGAGGGACAGAGAGGTCTTTCATCTATTGGTTCGCCCCCTAAATTAGACCAGTCTGAAGCGAATAGCCAGAAGCTGCTTCTGGGTCACCCACAGGGGTGCAGGCGCCCAAGCACATGGGCCACCTTTTCCTGCTTTCCCAGGTACATTGATAGGACATTGGAGCAGAAGTGGAGCAGCTGGGACTTGAACTGGTACCTATTTGGGGTGCTAGTGCCACAGACAGCAGCTCGGCCAGCTGTGCCACAGCACAGCCCCAAGCCAGAACAGAGACTGAACAGAGTACATGGTGGTGTCCAAAGAGCTTTACGGAGCAAAAGAGTAGGAAAGGGAGCTTTATTAGACAGCTATTCACCTAATAGTTTTTAATGTTTGTACAATATGTGAAAATGATTAAAGTTAAAATTGTCAAAATATCTTTCAACAATAATTCATTATTGCTGCCAGTGTTTGGAGACATTTACTGGCTGATAGATTCAAGTAAATTTGGCATACAGTTTCTGGCAAGTGATTCTATATTCTTCATAGAAAGTCTTTCCTGAAAATTGTCACAAAATATGACAGCTCCCCTAGCTCATAGCTAATGTTGGCTGCTTATGACTTTAGGTCTTGCTTAGGGAAATAAATGTTGAACATTAATAGCATTCAGGAGAAAAAAAAACACAGTTATTTCCAGAAATGTATCCTATACTTGTTTAATTATAGTTTAATGACTACAAATATTTACCATTTTTTTCTTTTTTAACAATATATTTATTTTTATTGGAAAGGCAGATTTATAAAGAGAAGGAGCTCCTGGCTTTTGGCTTGGTGCAGCGCTGGCCATTGTGGCAAATTGGGGAGTGAACCAGCAAATGAAAGGCTGTTTTCCCTGTCTCTCTCTCTCTGTTAATCTGATCTGCCTTTCCAGTTAAAAAGAAAAGTAAATCTTTTTAAAAGAAGATATATGGCAGGTTTGGGTGGAAGGTAGAAGGATGATAGATTCCATTTCCAATATCTGGAAGCAAAGGAAGCCAGTGCCCGGTGTGACAGGGTGCTTTGTGCACTGTTGCATATGTAGCCGAAAGCTCCTGCGAGTCTGGTCTGCCCGTTGGAGGTGGGTGTCCTAACCGGTAGGAGATGAAGGAGTGTCCCACAGAGCATGTGTAGTGGAATCAGACAGACCCAGGGAATCCTGGGGAAACATGGATAAATACACTAGGAAAGGGCTGTTTGGAAATAAGATGACAGTCATGGCATGGCCCACAACTGGGGTTTCAGTGGATTTGGCCATTTGTGTCATCTGCTCCTAAGGAGATCCAGGAGGACAAGAGTTGACTACATTGGACAGTTAGTCTATATCCGTAATCTTTGTTAGAAAAGTCCCATTAGTATAGGTACAGGGATGATGCAAGTCAAGCTGTAATGGGGCAGAGCCTGCCCAGGGGGTGCAAATAAACACCAGGAGGATCCGCTGGCTTAGCAAATGGCAGGTTTGTGTTGGGAGAGGTAATTGCTGCAGATACAAATAATTATTTTTGGTATTTGAGTTTTATTTTGTTTTAGATAGGGACTGGTCATATTTACAAATGTAAAGAGAATGAACCAGTTAGGAAGGATTTGCAAGACAGAGTAAATCATGAAGGTGAGAAGAATATTCAAGTCAGGGGTCAGTCATGGTCTAAGCAGTGACAGCCTTCTGGGCAAGGGGGAGGGGACATGTAGAGACAATATGACAGTAGGCCTGGAATAAGGCAGCTTGTGTCCCTAACAACTCCTCTTTCATTCTCTGTAAAATGGAAAGTGTTGGGGATGGGACCGGCATCGTGCTGTGGCAAGTTAAGCCACTGCCTGCCATCATCCCATGTGTATACCAGCTCTTCCACTTTGGATCCAGCTCTCTGCTGATGGCCTGAAAATAGCAATGAAAGGTGTCCACATATTTGGATACCTGCTGCTTGTAATGGAGGACTTTGAAGAAGCTCCTGGCTTTGACCTGACCCAATTCCAGCTATTGCAACCATCTAGGAAGTTAATCAGCAAGTAGAAAATCTCTCACTCCCCAAGTGGCCGCAACAGCCACAGCTGAGCCAACCCAGAGCCAGGAACCAGGAGCTTCTTCCAGGTCTCCCACACAGGTGCTGGGTCCCAAGGCTTTGGGCCATCCTCCACTGCTTTCCCCTTCCACAAGCAGGGAGCTGGATGGGAAATGGAGCAGCTGGGACCTGAACCAGCGCCCATGTGGGATCCCAGCACTTGCCAAGGTGAGGTTTAGCCAAGTGAGCCACTGAACTTGGTGAATATGTCCACTTCTCAATTAAAAATTTTAAGAGAAATAAAAAAGTTAAACACAGAAATCAATGAAAAGGAGAAATCTATAGTAATAATTAACATGTAAAAAATCTTGAAAGACAGGAAAGACCAGGTAATTGACACAGATTGGAAGAGCATAACTAGATGCAATGTGAGATGTATATTGGATTACAGAACAGGAAAAGAATGTACAGTGGAAAAACTGATACGATTCAGCTAATATCTGTAGTCTTAGTAGTGCATCAACTGCTGCGGTATTATGTTAACGTAAAATGTCTGGTGATAATTATACTAGGGTTCTGTAACATTTGTGCATTGACAAAATTGGTAAAAAGCTATATATAAACTATTTTTGTCACTTCTGCAAGTCTAAAATTATTTCAAGATAAGTTTACTTAATAGCATGGTATTGACATAAATTATACTGATTTTTATAAGTCTTCTATGACAAAGCAGTAACTGAAATCAGAAGAAATTTAATCTCACAGTTGTAAAGGTCAGAAGTTTGCGGTCAGAACCTGAGCAGGGCCGTGTTCTCTCTGAAGGCTCTGAGCAGCACGTCTTCCTAGTTCCTGGTAGTTAGTCTGAATGCACAGTTGCTGGGTTGAGGCTCCCCTCTATGCCAGCATGACCTGGTATTTTCATAGATTATATTCTAAAGGTGATTTTTGAGGGGACACTGTTCAACTCAGCATATAAGAATAGACAAATAGACCAATGGAACAGACTACAGTAATAGACCTACCCATTGGCTATAACTGATTTATAACAGACATACCAGTGCAGTACAATAGGGAACAGAGGGTCTTGTCTATAAATGATGAGGCAAGAGGAGATCCAGTTTAGAATAAAAAAAGATTCCTGACCAATTTCAGATACCTAAAAATAACAGGTAAAATAACAAATTGTTTTCCCTAACTCTTCAGGGTATCTTGATAAATTTAGGATAGGCAAGGATTTTTTTTTCTTCACTTTAGTTTTGATGATGTTTACCTAGTGGAGAAGGATGAATGCCTATGTGGACCCCAATTAGAGTAGGAAGGATAGAAGAATGGGAGAAGGTGGATGAGACAAATATTTCCAAATTTCTTTTTCTTCCTGTATTTAGAGAAAGGGAATAGAGAATGGGAGAGGGCTGCTCCCAGCAGCCTAACCACAGCAGGACCCGGGGAAGTGGGGCGGCCACTCAGTATCCTCCTAGGGTCCCCAGTGTGGAACATGTTTCAAGGTCATTGCCCAAGTGGTTTCGGTAGTTCTGAAGTATTCTTGATTTTGTTGTTCCATGGTTGAGGAAATCCTTCCAAGGTCCACTGATGGACATAATCCATCTTAGAGTCTTCACCTGCACAGTTACTTACTGTCAACACTTTGCAGAAAGAGCTGTCCAAGTTATTCTGTCATCCATGGTACTAGCTGTTCTCTGCAGCCCTCTGTGATCTGTCATGCCCCCATGTGCCTCTGGGCGTGCCATGCCCTGCACAGTCTTCAGCAATGAGGCCCCGTTCTGACACATGCACTCCAGTCAGGCCACAGATCCTGTGATTTTCCCCTGTGGTTGGAGTTTTGAGACCATCAGTCCAGTTGAGGGATGGAGGAGTGTCCCCAGAGAAACCTTCTCTGAGGTGACCCCAGACCTGACTCCTATGTGTGCCAGCCAGTGCAGGGTCCGGCTCAGTCCATCACCCATCAGTATGCCTCGCCCCCCACTGGTGATTGCAGTTGCCTGATCAGTTCTGTCTCTAGCTTTATCTCTTACACAAACCAGTAGATGCTGTGGCCCAGCTCAACCACTCTCACACACACCAGCAGGAACTGTAGTCTAGTCAGAGCAGCGCCCAAGAACTCCCACCAGGTCCACACTCAGCCTCAGTTTATGCACATGATGGTGTGTGTCCAGTCACTCCTGCATCCCATTTGGTTCTTGTGCATATCAGTGGGTACTTGCAGCCTAGCTCAGCCCAACTGACCCCACTATCCAGCCAACTCTCATAGCTACAGGAGCTACCCACCTGTCCAGCCAGGCCACCTCCAGCCCTGGTTCAAATGCTCACCAGTAGGAGCTACAGCCCATCAGAGTGCCGTTTCCCTACTAGGCCCGCTCCCAGTTTAGGATCTTGCACTTTCCAGGTGGTTCTATTGTCTAGCCTGACAGGACTTGCACCCCTGTTCCAGCACTTTTTAGCTTTTTATTTCAGGTTCTTATACTTTAATTCATGCTATACTTAAATTTTAAATTAAAATTTTTGATGCTTTTGTTGAAATTAACATATATGCCAGTATAAGAAGATTCAATTATCCTCACTCAAATGTTGCATTGAAATTTCATTCTAATTCAATCTAAGTAGAATTTATGTCTCAGTACTTTTTGAGATTCACGAGGAACTTTCTCACATGATAGCAATAAATGGATGTATTCCAGGATGGAGATTCTGGATTTTAAATATAAATGATGTAAGCTAATACAAGAAACCAACAGAGTTTTTCCATTTAACTATATTTGAAGTTTCAATGTTGCATTGTTCATTTATGTCTTTTAGGCTTAGACATCAAGCACACAAAGAATTTTATGCCTATAAACAGGTGAGAAATGTTATTCACATTGTCTTTGGTCATGTCTTTTCCCCCGAAAATTCAGGTTTACACCTTAAACCAGGGACAGACTTACTTACTTATTTACTTACTTACTCTTTTAGCATTTCATTTGCAGTAAAAATGGATCAACTTCATCTTTTCAAGTATTTTTTTAAGTATAATTTGAAGCTACGGAAAGTCCACGTTACAGTGATACAGTGTCCCAGGAACGTGAGCCACCACGTGGCAGCACACATACTAAGCAGAGAGCTGAGGGTTGGATTTCTTAAAGGGATGCCTGATTTTCTGGAATTGAGACTGCTAGGTGTTGATTCTCCCCGTCTTCCCTGTTAGAAGATAGGGCCCGTCCTCCAAGGTGAGCAAGTGTGTTACAATGATCTCATGAACTCTGCTGTGTACTTGAACTCTTAGAAGCCCAACCTGGATCTGCCCTTCACTGACGTGGTCTCTTAGTAACTTTAGGTCTTCATGAGCATTTCACTAGACACCACTACATTTTCTTCAGTTTTCCTTTAGCCTTGAATGCTTTTTTTTTTTTAAAGATTTGTTTTTAATTAGAAAGGCCAATCAGATTAACAGAGAGAAGGACATCTTCCACCCTCTGGTGCACTCCCAAAGTGGCCTTAGCTGAGCTGATCCAAAGCCAGCAGCTTTTTCCAGGTCTCCCACACGGGTGTAGGGTCCCAAGGCTTTGGGCCGTCCTCCACTGCTTTCCCACGCCACAAGCAGGGAGCTGGATGGGAAGTGGAGCAGCGAGGACTTGAACCATTGCCATATGGGTTCCTGGCACTTGCAAGGTCAGGATTTACCTATTGAGCCATCACGCCAAGCCCACACCTGAGTTTTTTTTCTCCTTAGCTTTTTAACTTTTTTATCTCATTTGGGTCTTTAGCAAACCTTAGCCACACTGATGTTACAGAGCCACGTCTCCATTTTTAGGATTATCTTATCTTTCTGCCTATCTCCTGTCCATGTGCTTGAAATCTGAGCTCACTGGCATGCCTGTAGGTCTACACAGTGACACCCTTGGGTGACCCCTCTTCTTGCCCTTAGGTTTCACAGTTGAATGCTTTAGTTTTCTTTTCTTTTTTGCTTTAGTTTTGTTGGTTCTATCATAACCTTGGCAACTTAAAAGATACTTATATTTAGGCAAGCCAGAAAGTAAAGTTTGTCTTACTGGTCATTTAGGTGAATGATTTGATAGGATCGAGTCACACAGTAAACCTGATCCTTGAAGTACTCTGTAGGAAGTTGAGTGCGTCCCTGCTGACGCTGGAGGATAGCTTCTACTTGGTATTTCTCAACAGGCAACTTGCCCTCAAAACTGGTTCAAGAATGTAAGATACTCAAACGTTAGAGATTTACATTGCAACATTTCACTAACTTTTTTTCAACATTAAGATAAAGTATAACTCAATTAAAAATATTAATCTACCTTGTTAATACTGGGCATTAACTGATGCCCAGTCACTGCACAATCAGGTTAATGAAAATTAGGTGAATTTGAACAAATTACCACAACTCTAGAGCTGAAATTACTGATAGGCAATATTGTCAGAAATTAAAAGTGACTCTTCGTCAGCCTGTACTGTTACTGAATCATGAGACCGTGTCTCCTGTCAGCCCTCGGTCAGATGGGCATGAAGTCATAGCTTGTCCCAAAATTTAATGTTCTCACAAAGAGATTGTATTGCATCATTGCTCTAGTTAAATACAGTTGTTCAAATGTTCTCGTCAATTAGTAAAAGACTGAAATGTTGAATATAAGGAAAGTGGCTATCTATGTTAAAGGAAATACTTATGAGAATACTGAGAAGTTTTTCAAATTACAAGTTAAAATGGGCATAATTTTTTTTTTTTGGTCTTACAGGTTATATTAAAAGAGAAAGTTAAAGAATTGAATTTACATGAGGTAAGTTACAAGTTTTTTTTATCCTTTCTTGAGCCATTTTCCAGTATTGGGGTGCTGAGATGTGTGCAGGCACTTCACTCTAAGTAGCTGAAAGTACGCTTACTTTGAACAGCTTGCTAGGATATACGAGGGTAGTGTCGCAGAGGAATCAACTGAAGGTTTCAAGAAAACATAATTCATTTGTAACAGAAGTGGTACCCATAGATTACTCCCCAACCGGCCTCAGTGGTCCGTAGCTGGGCCAGTCGTAAAGCCAAGAGCCTGGAATCCCATCCGGGTCTCCCCATGGATGGCAGGAGCCCATGCACTTGAGCCACTTCCCACTGCTTCCCTAGGTACATTGTCAGCGTTGTATTGGATGGGTAGCAGCCAGAACTCAAACCAGTGCCTGTATGGGATGCTGGCCTCGCTGGTGGAGACTGGACACTGCACCACAGCACTGGCCTCTAAGCAGGAGTTTGGGTGGGGACAAGCCGTTCAAGCAGTACTGCTGGTCTAGTTCCTTTGTCCTTGCCATGTGAATTGCAGCATCAGCTTGTCTTTATCTGCCCCCTCCAAAAAAATGCTGGGGTTGTTTTATTACATTAAATCTCTTTGGGGATCTCTTTGACTTTTACCATGTTGACTCTTCTGGTCTTTGTATTTCACAAAATTCTGCAAACGTGTATAGATTTAGGATTTTTTTTTTCTTATGGTGAATTGGATGCATGTTAACACCTCCCTCAGTGGATTTCCTTGCTCTGAAACCTTTGTCAGGTATTAGTATGGCCACTCTAACTTCCATTTTGGGTAACATATCTTTTTCCAGCCTCTTTTTAAGCATGTATTTTCTTTGAAAGGCACATTGTCAGAGGGTGCTTCACTTCCCAAATATCCCAAGTAACAGCTAAGAGTCAAGCGGGCTGACTCCAGGAGCCAGGAACTCCACCTGCAGAAGTGGTAGGAGCCACAAAGCCTGCCTCCGGGGCACATTAGCAGGAAACGGGACAGAAGCAAGGAGTAGCTGGGACTTAAACCAGTACTCCAGGATGGAACACTGGCTCCAAGCAGCAGCTTAACTAGTGTCACATGCCTGCCCCTCCCATTCCTCTTATTTTCAGTCTACCTATGTAACTGTATTTGAATTGAGTATTCTTACAGACAACTCTACCAGCGTGTGGGTTATCTAATGCATTTGAGAGGCAGTCATAACCACGTGGGCAGAGCTTACATCCCAGCCTTTGTGTGCCCACCTTTATGTAGCAAGGTGGCAATGCCTGGAGCTGAGAACCCAGTCGGGATCTCACAAGTGGGTAGCAGTGACTGAGCCTTTGAATCAACACCTACCTTCCAGTGTCCATGCTGGTGGAAGATGGGATATGAACCAGAGTTGGGACCTGAACTCCACAGCAGGGTAGGGCCCAGCATCCTAACCACCAGGCAAATGAATTCTCCCAATGTCTTAACTGGTGTGTTTAGATCATTTACATTCAGTGCAACGAATGTTAGGTTTATAATTGGGTTTACAGTTTTAATCTCAATCTGCTTTTCCCTTTCTCTTTCCATTCCTTGCCTTTTTGGGATTATTTGAACTTTCAGTATGGCCTCATCCATCCCAACCTGTTGAGCAACAGTCGAGGTTCCTTCATGAGACTAAGTCTCAGTAGCCTGCGTCCTGCTCTGACCTGGGAGAGCACCTGACACACTTGGCCTCATTTGTGAACTTGTTTTGCAGCTCTGTGCGGTATGTCTAGAAGACTTCAGGCCTCGAGATGAGCTGGGGATCTGCCCGTGTAAGCATGCCTTCCACAGAAAGTGAGTACTGATGTGGAGTCACTCAGCAGCACCTGAGTTCAGGACACACTGGAGGAGTGCCATGTTTGATGGCTTCCTGATGGGTCCATAGGGCAGAAAACTGGCATCTAGCAGATGGAGCCTGTGTATCTGGATATGTGGCATTAGAAAGGGCAGGGTGATGGAAGTGGCCACCACAGAACTCTACCACAGCCATCTCATGTCCTTTTAGCTGGGACTTCCCAGTGACAGCTTCCAGCTCCTAAAAATCCATTTTAATTAAAACCGCAGTTCTTTTGAGATCTTCTCCTCCTCCCCTCAGACATATTAATATTCTCCCCATCTCTTGCAGTCTTATTGCTCTCATGTTCCTATTAGAAACATTTGTTTTGTCTACTTCCACCTCCCTCCTTTGAGTGGCTGTGGCTTCTGTCACCTTGCCCTCTCCACATGTGGCAGAGTTCCAACATGCCCATCAGAGGCTCTGGGTGTCCGCTTTCATCACACTGGCAACAGCAGGCTGTGGGCGGGGCACCATCATCCCGGGACTCACGGGGCATGTTGTTCTACAGGTGCCTTATTAAGTGGCTGGAGGTTCGGAAAGTGTGTCCCCTGTGCAACATGCCAGTCTTGCAGTTGGCCCAGCTGCACAGTAAGCAGGACCGTGGTCCCCCCCAGGGGCCCCTGCCTGGGGCAGAGAACATTGTATAGTGCAGTCTGCTGGGATGTGATGTCTGCATGGAGCCAGGAGGAACACCGGCGGGGTCTGTCTTGGTTGCTCTTTACCTGAGGTACCAGCTGCCACTTCCTTTGCCTCATGAAGAACTCTTGGGCCAGCCAAGCTGGGAGCCCAGACATCTGGATCTTGTGACAACCAAAGCACGCTGATACTACTCCATGCCAAGAGGAGTGGGTGAACCTGCAGGTTTGGTTCAAGAAACTTCGTGAGGGTCTCTCGCTAACGCCATTATACTGTCTCTCAAGATACTCCTCTCCCTGCCAAGGTGATACTGTTTATCAAGCAGAGAGAAGATAAACACAGTATTAAAGGGAACTGAGGGTGGGGCTGTGTCTCGGGGAGAACCGTTCTTGCCTTCTGCAGCAGTGAGTCCCCCTGGCAGTCTGGGCCAAGGAAACCAGCAGCGAGGCAAAGCAGAGCTGGCCACCGGTGGGCAGGGGACGGCAGCAGCAAGCTTGCTCACAATCTGTTCCTTTGATGAGGCCATCACAAAACCAAGGGCTTTGGGCGCAACAGAGAGCAGTCCATTCGCCTCAAATTCACAGCACTTACAAGTCATCTAAGCTATACACATTAAATACACTTGGAAAGGCCTGGTCAGAAGCCATTTCCTCTCACCTGCTTTCCCACTCGTGTTCCCTGGGGAGGCCCAGCTAGGGTTGAGCTCAGCCCACACTGTCCCAGCGCAGTCCAGGGCGCTGGCTGCCTTTAGCCCACATGCACACCATGGCTCCAGCAGAGCTGCTGGCCTCCGTGGGAGGGAATCGCTGGTTACCTGGTCCAGCTACACAAGGATGCTGACAGGCCCCGCTGCCTTCCCTACAGTCTTCCCCTGCTGCACTGGCTCCGCCCGCTGAGTCCCATGCAGTTCTGAAGCCGGTAATCTACCTGAAACTGTAAGTAGTCTTAGGAAGCTCCACAGGGCTATGCACCCAGTGGCGTGTGCCTCAGTGTTTGGACTTGTGATCACTTCAAGTGTCTTTACAGGAAAGAAACGCATGCTGCTCTTCAACTCGTGCTGTCCAACTTTTCTAGAAATGACTCGAGTCCATTAGGAGTTGTGAATATTGTCTCCTTTAGCCATGTAAGCAGCAGTGAGTCAGCCAGAACATCGTTTTCACAGTCCTGTTCTCCAGCTCCCTCGTCACAGGAGTCTGCCAACTGGCTTGCTCTGCTCTGCCCCATGGTGAACTTGTGGGATTTTCATTGGAGCACACACTGCATGACGTGAAGAGGATGGAGACAGCCTTGTTCTCTGCTGATGGCAAGTCTCCAGGAGTATTAGATGGAATTTAACCTCTACCTTCTTACAGTGGGAGGGAGAACCTGCCCTTGGCTCTGGTGGCTCGGGTCAGATGAGAAGGAAAATTCCTGTTAGCCTAGGAAAGTGCTGGGCAGAATCCAGCTTGGAAAATTACAAATCCAGTTGGGTAGAACGGGCTGTTTCCTGCGTGTGACCTACTGCAGCCTGCCAGCTGGACTCTTCCTGAGCAGGGCAAGGGAGGGTGGCATGTTTTTGTATGAACGCCTTAGCCTAGTTGGCACCACGGAGAGAACTCTGTATACTGCTTTCACCTTCTTTCTGCATTCTCTATTTATAGCACGGGAGGTGCGGAATGCCACAAAGCACCCAGTTTACACTGAAATGTTTTCAGTGACCAGTGCAGAAAGTAGGCTTGCTACTGGACTAACCTCATGAAATGGCTTCGGGACAGATGTTGCCAATAGGAAAAGATGTTTCTTCCCCCTCGAGAGGAAGTCCACATGTCTGAGGCCCAGTGCTCCTGTAGTCCAGCCTTTCCATGGCACTCTGTCCCTGTGTCTCAGCATCCTGGATCTACATCAGGGCCATGGGCAAGAACACAAGGGTTCTCCCAGGTCAGCTCCACCCACCTCACCCTCCCCACCCTTGGGAAATAAGAGCCTTCCTGCGGCCAGGGTGGGCGGGAAGCTGGACCATCAGTGTCCATTCTGCTCAGTCCTGGCCAGGATGCTTCCCCAGCCCACTGGCAACAGGCCTTTTCATTTGGGGCTTCCTTGGATTCTGCTTATAATCCACCTTTTGTTTGAAAGTAATTCCATTCAGGGTTTCTTTTGTTTCTCAAGAACTTGGCTTAGGCTTAAGTCCCACAAAGAGATGACAGGGCCTGAGTTAGCTGTTGATTACCACGAAGACTAGGTACAAGAAACCTGGGCTGCCCTGGGACACTCTTATCTTAAAACTTGTGTTAGAGGGGAGACCTAAGGCCAGGTGACAAAACAGCCTGACCTGATTCCAGGATGAGCAAGAGGCGGACATCTTCTGTCCTTTGCCAAGTATAACGCGGTTAGGCCTGCCCTTGGGAGAAGGGATTAGTAACCAGATGGGGGCAGGCGGTCCTGCAGACCGCAGCCTGACAGCGGCCCCGCCATCCCTGCCATGAGGCTCCTTAGGCCCGTCACAGGAATGATGTCACTTTTCACAGCCTCATGCTGAGCTACTCTGAACAACTTTTTGAAGAATTATGACATGCATCCATGGAACAATGGTGTCCCTCTTGCCATTCTTATGAGGATCAGCCTGTGGCCAGAGCCTGTTCTAGGGCAGGCCTCAGGCTATGGGAGATGCCAACATTGTCACCCAGGTCCCACAATGGGCAGACAACCTCAGTCTTCCTTGACATCTTGCCCTCATCACAGCACACCCTGTCCTGGTTTTCCTGCATGTACCACTGCCTCCTGGCCACAAGTCCAGCACTGATGTCTGGCTGTAGCCGTCAGTCTCCGATGCAGGAGTCTGGACAGCAACTGAAGGTTTCCATTTTGTGGGGCATGCTAGCCATGCCTACGTGCCCCTCTAAGTTTCTGCCTTTGCTCTCTCCCTCTGAGCACACACAAAAGGCAGTGCTTCCTATAGTTTTCCCCCAGTCCCTTCTGTTCCAGTTAACTAAACCACCAGCAGTTTTTTAAAAAGAATTTAAGTTCATTTAATGCCTCCACGCGGGACGGAAGAGCTGCCTCCTCCAGGGCCACCCATCCGTGGCCCTCCAGCAGCCTTTCCTTCCTGTACCCCAACACGGAGAGACGGAAGGAAATCCTGCTTTTCTGGTCCAGGGTTGGTGTGCTTACCTGTAGTTAATGCAGGTTTCCTTAGCAGAGGAGATGGCAATGTCTAAATTTTGACATTTACAGCCATTCTGTAACAAAGCTCATGTGCCGTGGAGTGCTTCCATTTGAGTGGGAAGGTCGAGGGAAGAAACATGGGCTTGCTTGATCATCTTCTCCCAGTTCAGGTTTAGAGCTCAAATTACTGCAAGATCCAAGCTGTATGCTCTTCTGGCCTGTGGCTGGGGGTCAGGGCGTACCCCCTCAAGGCTCCAGGGCAGTACTGTACCTACACTGCAGGCTCACTGAGGACAGGCAAAGTTCTTGGCTTTCAGGCTTTTCCTGGCTCCCGGTGCCTGTAGCCACTGCACATCCTCCCTGCCTGCCCCTCCCTCCCGGGCCTGGCCTCCTGCTGAGAGCCTGCTCTCCTAAGCATGTCCCCGGGGACACCGTCTCTAGAAGTGGAGACACCAACCAGTCCTGCAGCGGGCCCTCTGCAGTTTATTCACTAGATGTTATATAACTCAAAAAAAAAAAAAAAAAAAAAAGGTTTATGGAATTCTGAGCCTCAGGTTTCATAGACGTGTTTGTACACGAAGAATTCTGCAGCAGAATATTTTTAAACATTCGCAGTCTTTTGTAAGCTATATTTTTGTATATTTAATTGCTATTTTAAAATTTAATGCATTTTTTGCTAATCACTGTTTTAAAAAATGACATGCATGTAATTGACAAAAAGGTGTAAATAAAATGCAGATTTTGAAAAAAAAACCTGATGACCAAGTTACCTTTCAGCTCCAAGGGGCCGGGCCCCTCACACCCACACACCGAGGGGTCGGGGCCTTCACACCCACACACCGAGGGGCTGGGACCCTCACACCCACACACCGAGGGAACGGGGCCCCTCACACATTAACAGCAAGACTTGCAAAGTCAAGGTGAGTGTTTGGGGGGGGGCGCTGGTTAGTAGTGAGAAGGCCCCAGGGAAGAGAACCAAGGAATCAAAATACAGGTAGGAGTGGAGTTGCATCCCCACCGGCCTAGCCTCAGTCCTGCAGTCCCACGTGCCCCTGAGCAGTCATCCACATACCCAAGGATGCCCCCATAGCTGTTATTCTGTTCCATGGTCCTGTCTTCCCGGGCCTCTTCATCCTCTCCCCTACACCTCCCTGGTGGAGACATGGTCTCCAGCGCCTTGTCACTGCCACCATCTTGTCCCACCTCCTTAGCATTCAATAAATCCCTTTTCCCAACTGAGTGACTTCTTCCTCAGCTGTCTCTCAAACCCAAATATGCAATGCCTACTTGGTGTATCAACATCAGACACATGAAACCTTGGATGTTCAAATGCCCGTTCCCACAACAGAGCCAGCTTGCACCCACATAGTAGCCCAACACAGCAAGCCCCACAACACTCATTGGGGGAGGTAAGACCCTTCAAGTACCATGTGGTACACTAAAAGGCACACCTACTGAGAGATGACGGGTGGCAATAGTGGCTGCAGGCATGGTACACACCAGGCTGGAGGTGGTGAGGTGGCAGAAAGGGGGGTGAGACTGTGGCTTTGAAGATGTTCAAGTGCAACCAGGCTGGCTGGAGGGGGGTCCAGCATGCACTGTGGCCTGGGAGGGAGTGGGGGCTGGCTGGAGGGGAGTCCAGGCATGCACTGTGGCCTGGGAGGAAGTGGGGAGGGACAATGGACAGACTGAGCTCAAGGGCCTGGCAGAGGAAGGAGAACGCAGAGCGGTCTGCTGGGTCAGAGCTTGGGGGAGACGGGCCTTGAAACATCCGTGGATTTAACATGCAGTGCTTCATTCAGGCCTGCGGAGAAGGCTCCCAAGGAGCAGCAGGGCAGGCTGAGCAAAGCGAGGAGATGAACAGGTTCTCGAGGTGCTGGGGCCCAGGAGGACAGCAATGGCAGGTGAGAGCCTTGAGGCTTGCTCCTTGGGCCCACGGTTTCCTCCTCCTACCAGGGAGACCAGCAGGAGGAGATGACCCTCATGGAGCACAGGGCACCCCCTCTAAACACAGCACTGATGGCCAGCCGCAGGCCTGCATCTCCTCTGGCAGCCAGCCAGCTCACAGTTGTCTTCCACCCTGGGGAATGAGGAGGGCCCAGACACGGAAACATGGGATCAGGCTAAAGTGGCTTAGAGGCACAGCAGCAGGTGGCAGAGAAGGGGTGTCACACTGCCTAGGTATGTCGCCCCAAAGGGGCCCTCCTGTTCTGCTCCCTGCACCCTCCACAGCACCAACCCAGCCCTGACACACCACCAGGAAGACCAAAGTAAAGAACAGCCTTGTGTAGAGTTCCCAATTTTTCTTTGTACAGACCCACCCCTGCCTTCAATGCAGGCACCATTTGATACAAAAACAAAGGTGATATCAGCTCCCAGAAGGCTTTTACAAGTTTCTGCATAGCAGCAAAAAAGGATCAAGCTGTAAGACTCCACCTGACAGGAGTCTGTTGCTCTCACCACAGTCTCCAGAGCCCAGAGCTCCCAGGAATCCAGACACGTCCACTCCTCCTTTTCTATTCAGCCTGGAACAACTGTGCACCCTGAAGAGGTGTCCCTCCTGGCAGCCCTGCTGGCCAGAGTTCATCTTCTAGAATGTGCTCTGTCTCCCAGCTCACCACACCCACTCCCACCAGAAGATGGAGCTATTGCCACAGCAAATGTTTTATCTTCCCAGACTGTTCCAGAACATGTGCAGTAAGGTGAAACTGCCCTTCCGAAAGGACCTGTCAAGTTTCGGGTATAAAGTTAACCTGCTATACTATAAAGGCTGCAGGCTTCCAGTGTGTTCACACGAAGGCAGGTGCCGACGGCAGTGCCCAGAGATCTTCACGGCCAAGCTGACAGTCCATGATTACAGCACAGTGTAACCTGCCTTACGCACAACAGCTTTCCCCAAAGTACCTCTAGTGATGCTGAGATTTCCAAAGGACAACGCAGCTGTAACAGCTGACAGCGCTATGCTGAAAAGCAACATGGATACAGCAACTCCTTGCACTACCGGGATGTGGTCCACTTACTTCTTTTGCTTTAGATGCCTTTCCTTACTGGCTGCTTTAAGATTCATCTTGATGACTTAGAAAAATACACTTGTCTTTTCTCGCTTTGATTCAGGTAGTACATTCACAAAATTGAGTCTTAAAAAAAGTCCACAGGTCCCATCATGGGAAGTTCCAGAAACCCTTCCCCAGGTAACAATCAGGGGATCTTCAATAATTCAAGCAGTGCTCCGACGGCTCCAAAATAACCCTGGAGTAGGGGGAAAAACAGCAAAAATAAGAGCAATTTTCCTTATTTGTTTAAATCATCACAAATACAGTCACTAATGTCAAAGCCAACAAACACTGCCCATAACTCCTCACACATTTCTTGAGCATCCACTGGAGGCCTATGCTAGCCTGGGAGCAGGCCAGGGAGGGGTCTGGATGTGAAGGCCCCCTGGGCACATCAGAGCACTGTGGCAGGAACAAAACCACACACACACACCCCTCCTCCACCCCCCAGTGGGAGCTGCAGCAGCCAAGGTCAAGGGCAGCTCAGTTCTCTCTGGGGAGACGGCCCTTGGGCTGGGGCCCTGGGGATGAGGCAGTGAGAACCAGCAGAGGCCTGGTACATCTCACACAACTGAAGAATGAAGTGCAACAGGACAGGAGGAGCTGCCCAGAGGGGAGTGGGAGGGAAAAGGGCCTGCCTGGGCGGAAGGAGGGAGAGGAACAGACAGGCAGCAGAGAAGTGGGCAATTCCAGTCCCAGAAATGGGGACACTGCAGACGTGGAGAGCAAGGCAGGTGGGTTCCCCTCAGGATGCAAAGGCCAAGGTCCCCAGGCAGGCAGCGCATGCCCTGTCTCAGGAAGGGCAATGCAAGAGTAGACGGCAGTGCCAAAACAAGGAACGTGGCACCGGCCACAGCCTGAGCAGTGACAGCTCCTGACGAAGGGACCAAGCGTGGCACTGACCACGGCCTGAGCAGTGACAGCTCCTGGTGGAAGGATCGACGCATGAGACAAACCTACTTCTATTTCCAGACTCAAGCAGTCAGGGTAGCAAAACAAATGGACAACACATTGAAGAACAATAAGACAAAACCCAGTGACACAGAATGCCAGCAGGGAACAGCAGAGCCCTGTGTGACACAAAGTCCACTCGGGTCTCCAGGGCACAAGAGATGGGTATACAGGAATTCAGAAGACATTATGAAGGCAGGCACTTGGTGCAGAGATCCAGTCACCACAAGGGACACATCCCATCCCACAGGTTCCTGCAACCGCACAGCCCAGAAGACAGGTGATGGCTCAAGGACCTGGGTTACTGCCACCCCCCACCCAGGCCGATGACCCAGACCGAGTTCTGGGCTCCCGGATGTGGCCTAGCCGTGCCTTGGCCGCCTGCAGGCACCGAGAACAGGCCAGCAGATGAAGAGTCCCATTTCTCAAAGAAAATGAAAATATTCCTTCAAAAGAAATAAAAAAGAATGTGGAATGACCCTGAAAAACCTACTCATGGCTTTAGGAGAACTATCACATCTATGTAACATAACAACAAGGCTGAAATCTGCCTTGTCATCTTAGTTCTCTGTTTTAAAATAAAAACAGAAAAACCCACCACACCACACTGCTGTTAGGTGGCCAGAAGCCCAGCAGCCAGAGCCAGCCTCGCCTGGGAGCCCCAATCCCAGAACACAGGAGCAAGGGTGTGCATTTCAAAGCAGCCATCAATTCTGTCCTGTCACTATTTCTGTGTCGCTTTATAATTAAAAAAATGAGAGCTAACTATTAAATGGTTCCATTGAGGACTCAGACCCCGTTACCAAGTACAGAGCCAACTCGTTGGAAGCTGCCAAGAGCTCAGCTGAGAGCAGCGAGAGCTGTAAGAGACGGGCTCCGCAAGAACCAGGGATCGGGGCAAGCCAAGCTGGACAAGGCTGTACTGTGAGCAGTGACAGGGCTCTGAGGGACCGAGCGTGGCACTGACCACAGCCTGAGCAGTGACAGCTCCTGATGGAGGGACTAAGCGTGGCACCGACCACAGCCTGAGCAGTGACAGGGCTCCTGGTGGAGGGACCCAGCGTGGCACTGACCACAACCTGAGCAGTGACAGCTCCTGACGGAGGGACCAAGCATGGCATCTGTTGGCATAGCTAAAGGCCACTATGGGGGGCGGGATGGGCTGAACTAAGCCACAGCACCATGGGTATGCATGAAAGCTGGACAGGATGTGGGCTAGCTGCAGCAGAAGCTGGTAGGCACAAAAAGCAGGGTTGAGGACAGGCCTATCAGGGATTATTGGGGGTCGCCCCAACTAAGCCGCTGGTCTGTGTGAGGACCAGGCCTGTGGTGGGCTGCAGCACCAGTTTGTAAGACATGCAGCTGAGCTGGAACTATCCAGGCTCCATCCACTGGTATGCACACTGGTTGGTACATGTGGCAGACCAAACCTGACACTGGACCAGCTGGCACACGAAAAAGTCACCCCAGGTGAAGGCTCTTAGGTGACTCCCCAACTGGACAGCTCAACTCAGACTCCAGCCACAGGGAAAGCATCACAGGATGTGTGGCCCAACCTTGCAGTGCGTGTGTCAGCTCTGGGCCTCTTCAGTGCCGATGCCTATGCAGTGGACAGCACGTCCGGATGCACACGGGGGACATGAATGCCCACTCATCCAGGCCAGAAGGGGGATTGACTGCCTCCTCAGAGGATGGGAAGCAGATAACAATTTTTCTGGCATGTTCCTGGGCCAGGGGATGCACTAAGACAAGACTTAGTCAACCAGTAGACCTTGGACAGATTTTCTTAACCCCAGAGCAACCAAACAGACCATTTTCCAGGGCTATCAAAACTACTCAAGCAACACCCTCAGAATCCTCGTCTCCACTTCGGGGTCTCTGGGCATCATCCAAGACTGTGCTCCAAGCCCAGGTGCTAACGTGGTCCGACAGCAAGGAGCGGCCCTCTCCCTTTATTACCTTCCAGACAGAGGAGAAGGAAAACAAAGACGGCCACACATTCCTTCATGCCTGCCCTCCGCACCCTGACCAGAGGCCCACGTGGGCATGCAACCCTGTGAAGCATGTGGATAAGGCTCAGGGGCCAGCTCCGCCAATCCTGCCAGGAGGGAACACTCAGACAAGAGGCTCAGCAATGCCAGCTACAGGAAGGTGAGTTAAAAATACACACATACATACAGTAAAGGATTAGACCTAATCCAATAGGAAAATATAAATTCAAAAAAGAAAAATGTTGGGGCTGGCACAGTAATCCAGCTGACTAATCCTCCCCTTGCAAGTATCAGCATCCCAGATGGGCTCCAGCTCATGTGCAGCTGCCCCACGTCCCCTCCAGCTCCCTGCTCCCTGGGAAAGCAGTCAAGGACGGCCCAAAGCCTGGGGACCCTGCACCCGCATGGGAGACCCAGAAGAAGCTCCTGGCTCCTGGCTTTGGATCAGCTCGGCTCTGGCCACTTTGGCCATTTGCGGAGTGAATCAGTGGATCGAAGATCTTTTCGTAGATCGGCCCTTCTAACAACAAGTCTTTATAAGAAGCTAATCTCCATATTCTTTCACCTAGGTAAATATTCAATGATAGGCAGGAATTAGCCAACAGGACAGTTCTACACGCAGTCCAGGCGGGCAGTGGGAAGTCCTCATGATGGACGCTGCCGGATGGCACATTTTCTATCAACGATTTTTGGAACATACATCTTAAATGCCACATGATTTGTACCAGTATACAAAACTGGCATGAAAATGTCAGCGCAGAAACCAGAATAACTAAGCACATTTCATGAGCAAAGCAAAAAGCACAGAGGCAGTTCAGGAAACTAACAACATCAGAAATAGAGGACACTCATCCAAGTCTTCTACAAAACTGTTTCAAAGAATTTTAGGACAGTGGCAAAATGGTACAAATAATGTTATAAAATGTGTATCACACAATTGTTTTAAAAAATTAAATTCTGTAGCCTTGTAACATCACAGGAAACAGGCTGGCTTACCTCATGTTCCGAAAACAGTGCCTTCAGCTGCCCCTTGGACCAGTAATCCAAAGCATACGCCAGAAGTCGCATGGCGATCGTGTTAATTCTCAAGAAATTTCCAACAAATACCACCTGGTTAATGTTCTGAGCACATCAAAAACAGGCAATTAGTTTTCGCCTTAATTTGTTTTCTGATAAAAGCTACCCTAAGCTGAGCAGCGCGTGCAGTTTCCAACAGGAATTTGCTGGCCAAACTGAACTGAGCTGGTCCAGGGCTGCTTCAGCGCGACCCCAGAGCTCAGGACCTACTGTTACAGGGAACGAGACAGTGAAGCGAGGCATTTGTAGTAAATACGAGTATCACTGCTATGAAAATGTTCACATCCCACACTGAATGCAGAGCATCCCCAGCAAGCAACCAACGCCCAGCTCCGTGTGAGTGATCCAATTTACAGTCATGAAACACAGAGCATTTTTGCAAAGACCGTAAGTGGCAGGTACACCAACTAAAATCTCTAAGAGACATAAGACAAGGGAGGAAACAGGCAGCGAAGACAAAGGGTGACGCTACGCAGATGGAGACATTTTTAAGTGGCTCCTGAAACAGTATTGTTAAAGTGACAAATCCTCTTGTGCCTTCAGAGGCCTCATTTGTTTAAGTCACAAGGCTGTATTTCCTAGTTAAAGAATGATTTTGAACAAAAACGTGTAAGTAGGGGCAAGACGCTTTTCCCCGAGGGCAGCCCATTCTTGGTTCTTTCATAGCCCTGTACAATGCTGCTTGACCCGAATGCTACAAGGCAGCACTGTAAAGAAGCTGAAAGCACGAAGATGCAGCTCTGCCGAGGCGGGCAGTCCTCTCCCAGCTCCAGTGCCTTCCTCTGGACTCCGCAGCCCACGATGAGCAGCGCCACTCCCCAGGGCACTGGAGGACACCCCCCACCTTCTCCTCTGAAGACGCCTTACCTGCACATAGCGGCAGTGGTCATCTTCAGTAAGAAAATAAAAGCAACATTAATCTGCATTTGGAGTTTTAACCTCACTTTCAAACAAACTCCATCAGACGTCGGCACTGCTGTGAAAGGTCACGTTGGACATCACATGACACAGCCCCTTAGCAACTGAAGAAAAGCAGGTGCCCTTACTTCATTCAGAGCACACATTCTCGCGATGGAGCCAATGTTGTTGGTGATGGTGATCAGAGTGGCTCTGGCCAGGTCCTCCTTTGTGACAGCGTCCCGCTTCTCCTTGCTCATCATGTTTCCAAAGCTGTGATGAGAAAAACATGACATTCTGTTGTTAAACCGGAAGGAACTCGGCCCAACAGAAGCCGGATGTCATCTCGCGCAGATGAAGTTGGACACTTCATACCGATGGAGCACTGCAGCTTGCAGGCGAGCCTCCAGCATCCTCCAGGAGCAGGGTCCTCTGTGCCTCTCAGGAAACCCAACCCTGACACCACAAACCTGCCCATTCAGCTAAGATCTTCCTCATTGTTTCCACAGCAACCAGACCGTTCCCCAAAAGACACCACTATCAGCAAGACCTACCTGTCCAGCCCCGCTGTTCTGCAGCCACATAAACATCTGGTAAACTACTACCCCGGAGAGGAGCAGAGCAGACAGCTGAGACAAAGGCGTTTCGGATGTCCCAGAATACGCAAGGCACTTCAGAGTACTTCACAAGCAGAACTGCCACGTTAGTCACTTCTCCAAACCCAACCAGGAAGGGAAGTGAGGACCACTGAGCAGAGCTACCGAAATTCCCTCCAAATTCACTGAATGCCTACAATGGACACTTACATAACTGTATTTCCTATTTTAAAAAACCATGTACTCCAGTACCTACAAAAAGCAACCGCATTTCTCAATCTCAAAAGCTAAAAATATTAATTTTAATAGCAAGGAGGAAAAAAACTTAAGAAATATTTAACAAAAGCAGTGTAACTTTCATACACTGAAATCCAAAAACATTGTGTAAAACAAACAACAACAACAACAACAACAAAAACCAGCAAAGAAATAAAGAAAAGAGTCCATCTTCTGAATCCTACGACTTGGGTGTTACTAGGATGCCCTCAGTAATAAAAAGCCACTCCGACTAAAACGTCAGCCGAGGCAGGTGTGTACCCGAGTGGTGAAGAAGCCACATCCCCACACTCGAGTACCTGGATTCATTTCCTGACATTCCTGCTAAGACAGAGACTGGAAGGTAGAGGTGACGGGGTTCCTACGCATTCAAGGCCCACCAGCCCTAAGCCCCCTGCCAGTCCTAAGCCCCTGCCAGCCCTAAGCCTCCTGCCAGCCCTAAGCCCCCTGCCAGCCTTGAGAGTGAACGAGCAGGTGGGAGGGTGTGAGGATGTCCGTGTATCTCAACCCAGCAGACAGGAGCAAGCATGTGACACAGTGCTTCAGACCCGACAACTCTGGGACTGCAACCCAAATCAGAGTGCCAGCTCTGCCTCCCACAGAGCACCCTGCCAGGACAGCAAGCAAGGAACGGCTCAACAACGTGAATCCTGTCATCCAGCCATGTACGAAACCGGGCTTGAGCTCTGGGTGCTCAGCTGCAACCCGGCCCCGTCCCAGCTACTGCAGGCACTTGAAGTGTGATCCAGGAGCTAGAAGATCCTTGCTTTCCCTGACTTTCAAGCAAAACAAGAATGGAGTAGAGCAGTCCCTACAGGCCTGCAGCAGGTCTGGGTCTCATGGGCACAGGAGCACACCAGTGCATGGGAGGTCTGTCTCTCATGTAACAAAACAGTTTTAAAATTTTGTACGCAAATGTTCTATCAACCTGTTGAAGCTTACTGATCTATGATATCATTTATATGACAGATTCCTAACAAGTAGGGCCCAGTGAGGTAGGAAGGCCCTCGCCTTCCACGCGCCAGCATCCCATACGGGTGCCGGTTCTAATGCCAGCAGCCCTGCTTCCCATCCTGCTCCCTGCTTGTGGCCTGGGAAAGCAGTCGAGGATGGCCCAAAGCCTTGGGACCCTGCATTCGCATGAGACACCTGGAGGAAGTTCCTGGCTCCTGGTTTCAGATTGGCTCAGCTCCAACCGTTGCAGCCGCTTGGGGAGTGAATCAGTGGATGGAAGATCTTCCTCTCTGTCTCTCCTCCTCCTCTCTCTATATCTGCCTTTCCAATAAAAATAAAAATAAATCTTAAAGAAAAACAATTCCATTAAAAAAAGATTCCTGGGCCTGGCGTGGTGGCGCAGTGGTTAAGGTCCTCGCCTTGCACGGCCGGGATCCCATATGGCACCGGTTCTAATCCCAGAAGCCCCACTTCCCACCCAGCTCCCTGCCTGTGGCCTGGGAAAGCAGTCGAGGACGGCCCAAAGCTTTGGGACCCTGCACCCATGTGGGAGACCTGGAAGAGGCTCCTGGCTTCAGATCAGCATAGCATCGGCCGTTGTGCTCACTTGGGGAGTGAATCATCGGACGGAAGATCTTCCTTTCTGTCTCTCCTCTCTGTATATCTGCCTTTCCAATAAAAAAATAATAAAAATAAATCTTCAAAAGAAAAAATAAATAAAAATAAAAAAAAAAAAAATTCCTAACAAGTGAACACACAAAAACAGAAAGAAGAGGTTTTGGCAAGACCAGGCATGGAGGAATAGGGAGGAGCAGCTGGATACAACAAACCTTCTTTTTAGAATGAAAAAAATGTTCTGAAATTAGGTTATGGTAATGGCTGGACAATTCTATAAACACAGTAGAAACTATTAAATTGGACACTCTAGGGCCCAGCGCAATGGCTCAGTGGCTAAAATCCTCAACTTGCAAGCACCAGGACTCCACGAGGGCCAGTTCATGTCCTGGCTACTCCACGTCCCTTCCAGCTCCGTGCTTACGACCTGAGAAAGTAGCAAAGGATGGCGCAACTACTTGGCACCCTGCACCCACAGGGGAGACCCAAGGAGGCTCCCGGTTTGGGATCAGCTCAGTTCCCGCCACTGCAGCCATTTGGGCAGTGAGCCAGCCGAGCCAAGACCCTTCTGTGTTCCCTTGTCTCTCTGAATCTGATCTGCCCTTCCAATAAAAATAAATTTTTTACAAAATTGGACACTCTACACAGGTGACTTTATTGGACACTTTAGGGCCCAGATAGATCCTATCTGAGTAAGATTTTCAAAAGAAACGTGGCAAGTACTGTGGCAGAGTAGATAAATCTGAGTACCAGTTCCTGTCCTGGCTCCTCCAGTTTCAACCCATCTCCCTGTTCATGTGTCCAGGAAAGTAGCAGAGGATGGTCCAAGTCCTGGGGCCCCTGCGTCAACATGGGAGACCAAGAAGAAGCTCCTGGCTTTCAGATTGGTCACTGTGGTCAAGCGACTGGACTAATGGAAAAAAAAATCATTTTTTTCTAACTCTGCCTTTCAAGTGAATAAATCTTTTAAAAAAGAGAAAAAGATGAGCCTACCACAGTAGCCTAGTGGCTAAGTCCTCACCTTGATTGTGCTAGGATCCCATATGGGTACCGGTTTGTGTCCCACCCATTCCACTGCCCATCCAGCTCCCTGCTTGTGGCCTGGAAACGCAGTACAGGGTGGCCCAAGGGTTTGGGACCCTGCACCTGTATGAAGAGAACTGGAGGAAGCTTTTGACTCCTAGCTTCAGATCGGCTCAGTTCCAGCCATTGCAGCCACTTGGCAAGTGAACCAAGAGAAGAGCTTTCTCTTTGCATTTCCTGCTCTTTGTATTTCTGCCTTTCCAATAAAAAAATTTTTTAAATAAAATAAAATAAAATAAACTCCCACAGGAGAGCATGAAAAACGTCTGGAACAGAACAGCACCCACCAGCATGTGTGCGGGCTGGATAGTGGAGCTGGTTGGGTTGAACTAGGCTTCAATGCTCATTGACATATATGAGAGCTGAATGGGATGTGGGACAGACTGGACTGGTCTTCTGTACATACTGGCAAGCACGGAAACCAGGGTAGGGGGCGGGCCTGGTGGGGGTTATTGTGGGTCACCCTGACTAGGATGCAGCTCCCAATGGTTTATGTGAGGGCCAAGTGTGTGCTGGGCAGAATCAGGCTGGACTGCAACACCATTGGTTCCAGTGGAAGACAGGGCTGGAAACAGAACTGACCCAGCAATTGCAACCACCAGCTGATTGGGGCGATGGTCTGTACCGGGCCCTGTACTGGCATGCACACACATGAACCTGGTCTGGGATCACTTCAGATGAAGTTTCTTTGGGGATATCCTCAATCAAACTGCCAGACTCAGAACCCCAACCATGAAGAGAAGTGCAAGTTCCATGGTCTGACCATGAAGTGCAAGTATCAAAGCTGAGCCTCTTCAGATGCTCAGACGGAGCAGTAGACAGCATATCCAGGTGCACATGGAGGACATAGGAGTCCATCAAAACCTCAGAGGACACTTGGTACCACCACAGAGGACAGAGGACAGAACAAATCAATCAACTACCCCAGCCATGTGCTGGCAGTGAAAATCTGGGCAAACGGAGACTCTAAGGTGGACTATGTCAGCCAGTGGATTCTGCAGCGACCTCACCGTGCTTGGAATGGCGAGACTGGCAGCATTTCAGAACTGTTGAACTATCAAAACCACTTGAGCAAGACCCTCAGAGCGTGCCCCACGTCGGGGACCTGGGATAGGTGGGAGGCTGGGTGGGGATTCTCCCTTTATCTCCCCTTTGTTACCCCAGGGACAGGAAAAAAAGAAAATAATAATGTGGAAACAACAGTCTTACCCACTTTCTTGTAGCCCTTGACCCTTTTCGCCCTGATCAACTACGTAAAGATTATCCAAATAAAATAATTACCAAAAATAAATAAATAAAATAAAAAGAAGAAATGTCTGTTTGTGTTTTGCTGTGTGCGTGCACACACTCACCTCGAGGCCACAGCCCAGCCTGGCAGGCCAAACCTCTCGTAGTCCCCGCCGTAAATGTCTCGCACGAGTTTGTCCACTTTGGTGCTATCGCCACGAGATGCCATCTCAAGAGCTTCTTCGAAAGTGGTGCAGCCGGTAAGGAGACAACAGAGACCAAAGAAAGTCCCTCCTCCAAGGCTGCAGTTAAAAACAAACACTTTCTTTAAAAATGGAAATAGGGAGGTTACTTCAGGAGCCCCCAAATCCTATCTGTGCATCACGCAATCCAACGCAATCACAAAAATGTTACTAGTGGCAAACAAGTCTACAAAAGTTACCACCCTGAATGTACACCACCCTATCTAGCAGGTCTGGTCTATGGCCTGATGCACATACACCCTGACGGTACAGTCACAGCAACGAACCAGGCACGGCCCGCTGCCCTGTCCACACACAAGCTCGGTGCCTCCTGAGCAGGGAGACCCGGCTACAATCACCCCTTGCTGCCACCACTCCTCTTCCCTCTACCAAACCCATTCGCTGTCACTCTAATCCAGGCCATGTCATCTCTCACGGTCTTCCACATCACCTTCCCTCTCTGACCATCCGCTCCAGTGATGTTCCCCACTGATCGGCCTGTCAGCTGCTGGAGCGCTACCATCTCCTGGCTGTGTGTGTGTGTGTGTGTGTGTGTGTGTGTGTGTGTGTGTGTGTAGCCTTGCCTTCTCATCTCCTGTGTGTGTGTGTGTGTGTGTGTGTGTAGCCTTGCCTTCTCATCTCCTGTGTGTGTGTGTGTGTGTGTGTGTGTGTGTGTGTGTGTAGCCTTGCCTTCTCATCTCCTGTGTGTGTGTGTGTGTGTGTGTAGCCTTGCCTTCTCATCTCCTGTGTGTGTGTGTGTGTGTGTGTGTGTGTGTGTGTGTAGCCTTGCCTTCTCATCTCCTGTGTGTGTGTGTGTGTGTGTGTGTGTGTGTGTGTGTGTAGCCTTGCCTTCTCATCTCCTGTGTGTGTGTGTGTGTGTGTGTGTGTGTGTGTGTGTGTAGCCTTGCCTTCTCATCTCCTGGCTGTGTGTGTGTGTGTGTGTGTGTGTGTGTGTGTGTGTGTGTGTAGCCTTGCCTTCTCATCTCCTGTGTGTGTGTGTGTGTGTAGCCTTGCCTTCTCATCTCCTGGCTGTGTGTGTGTGTGTGTGTGTGTAGCCTTGCCTTCTCATCTCCTGTGTGTGTGTGTGTAGCCTTGCCTTCTCATCTCCTGTGTGTGTGTGTGTGTGTGTGTGTGTGTGTAGCCTTGCCTTCTCATCTCCTGTGTGTGTGTGTGTGTGTGTGTGTGTGTGTGTGTGTGTAGCCTTGCCTTCTCATCTCCTGGCTGTGTGTGTGTGTGTGTGTGTGTGTGTGTGTGTGTGTGTGTAGCCTTGCCTTCTCATCTCCTGTGTGTGTGTGTGTGTGTAGCCTTGCCTTCTCATCTCCTGGCTGTGTGTGTGTGTGTGTGTGTGTAGCCTTGCCTTCTCATCTCCTGTGTGTGTGTGTGTAGCCTTGCCTTCTCATCTCCTGTGTGTGTGTGTGTGTGTGTGTGTGTGTGTGTGTGTAGCCTTGCCTTCTCATCTCCTGTGTGTGTGTGTGTGTGTAGCCTTGCCTTCTCATCTCCTGTGTGTGTGTGTGTGTGTGTGTGTGTGTGTGTGTGTGTAGCCTTGCCTTCTCATCTCCTGGCCGTGTGTGTGTGTGTGTGTGTGTGTGTGTGTGTGTGTGCGTGTGGCCTTGCCTTCTCATAGATGCTGCTGGAGCGCTACCATCTCCTGGCCGTGTGTGTGTGTGTGTGCAGCCTTGCCTTCTCATAGATGCTACCAGGAACTCGAGCTGTGTGTGTGCATGTGCGAGCATGTGCACACTACCAAATCTGTACAAATGTTCATGCTGAACTCTCTGCCTGGCTTCACATAGATGCTACCAGGAACTTGAGCCGTACTCCAAGCCCACATGCAGATCATAAACTGAAACAGCAATGGAATCATGATCCAAAAAACTAGAATAGCAAGTAAAGGAAACTTGGCCAGAAAGTCAGAATTTCAAAAAGGGACATTAGTATACTCCCAGACAAATTTTCTTTCACAAAATTTTAATTGGTTCTTAAAGTTATAGTTACACACAAAAACTGAAATCTCAAACAGGCCATGATATTAAAAATAAGAGTCATGGGCCCAGCACAGTAGCCTCGTGGCCCTAATTCTCGCCTTGCATGCACCAGGATCCCATATGGGTGCCAGTTCTAATCCCAGCATCCCCACTTCCCATCCAGCTCCCTGCTTGTGGCCCGGGAAAGCAGCAGAGGACGGCCCAAAGCCTTGGGACTGTGTACAAGCGTGAGAGGCCCAGAAGAAGCTCCTGGCTCCTGGCTTCAGATCAGCTCAGCTCCTCAGCCATTGTGACCACTCGGGGATTAAATCAGCAGACGGAAAATCTTCCTCTCTGACTCTCTTCCTCTCTGTGTATCTGACTTTCCAATAAAAGTAAAATAAATCTTTTAAAAAAAGAAGAGTCATTCTTGCATAAAAGACTTACCTGGTACCCGTGACCCGCTTGTAATTATCTTTGGAATATACTGCTAAGATGCTAACCCCCGAGCCAATGTTCACCAGAAGCAGAGGGTATGGATTCTTCAAATCAAATGGTAACTTCTGGCATTTTTCAGAATCCGCAGGATTTTCAAAGTAATAGCACTGTGACCGTCCGTTGAATCCAACAGAGTCTATATACAAAATCCCCTTTATCAAGCAATCTAGTTCATCCAGTTTGCAAAGCTGAAGATCGCCTATCTGTAACGACAGAAGATGAGCAGAGCTTGTAACAAGCCAACAGAAACAAAGATTCCATTTAATAAGACCTCGGCTCTCCACTCTAAAGCATGAGTTCCCACTCACAGACGCAATGCTGCAAGGCCGCAGCTGCGGAAGCGTGCCCAACACCAGCAGGACACCAGACAAGGCAGCTGTGCCCAGACGGCCGTAGTCCTGGTGACAGCCCGAGGAAGTCACCAGGAACCTGCCTTCTGCCTACCCAAGACCATCTTCAAGCCTATGGAACAGTATCAAAAGGGCTATACTGTATTATTTAACAAGTGAAACCAAAGGCCTGAAAGTGTGTAAGGATCAAGTAAGAATGTCCCTGCCCATGGCCCAGAGCACACAAGCAAAAGTATCAAAATTTAAATCATTTTGGGCCCAGCAAGATAGCCTAGTGGATAAAGCCCTCACCCTGAACCTGCAAGGATCCCATATGGGCGCCGGTTTGTATCCCGGTAGCCCTGCTTCCCATCCAGCTCCCTGCTTGTGGCCTGGGAAAGCAGTCGAGGACGGCCCAAAGCCTTGGGACCCTGCACTCGCGTGGGAGACCCAGAAGAAGCTCCTGGCTTCAGATCAGCTCAGCTCCAGCCGTTGCGGCCGCCGGGGAGTGAATCAGCAGATGGAAGATCTTCCTCTGTTTCTCCTTTCTGTATATCTCACTTCCCAAAAAGCATAAGTATCTTTTTTAAAAATATAAACCACTGTATCAGCTTACTTCCATTTGAATAGCACTGCACGGCTATTAAGAAATGAAGAGAATCTGTACGTACTGAAGCGGCAAGACCTTCAGCACATTTTTGCCAAAAATGCAGACATTTTGTACAACACAATCCAGTCTGCCTGCTCCTGCTCTTAAGCCCACATGTCTGTCCCTCCCAGTTATTCAGAGAAACACGCGTGACCGCAGAGGTAACCCCCCCCACTGACTCAGGTCAAAGTTCACAACCCTGAGTGTGCCGGGCTCCGCTGTGCGCGCACTCAGGTCGGCTGGCAAGCTCTCCCCGGGAACCAACTCCCACCTCGCCACATTCACCTCGACTCATCTCAGCCACTATTTCTTCACCTTAATCCTTAATAAACTCCTCTGGCCAAAGCCAAACCAATCACTGCGCTGTACCACCTAGCCACTGCCTCATGCCAAGATGAATCCAGGCCGACTTGTTCAGCATTTTCATTTCTGGGTCAAATCTTTGTTATACTGGCCTGTCGCAATCCAAGCAGATCTCTGACATTGTACATCAAATTCATTGTTCCTCCAACCTTTTCCCTAATTCATGTTATCCTCCAACCTCCTGCTGCTCGGCTGCTGCTCCCGACACCTCTCAACCTTCCTGCCAGTCAGGACTCCCTCACACCACACCAAGCTTGCCTGCCAGTGCGACACCTGCAGGCTGCGGTGCTCGGGCTAGTGAAACTACCCGACAGATTCCAGCATCTACATGGAGCCGAGCATCACTTCCGAGTGACAGGAGTGTTGTGAGAAATGTCGGTGAGGACGTCATTACGGGAAGAGCAGAGGATACCGAGAACCACGCGTTCCCTGGACCAAGGCCTCACCACACCCTGCACCAGCCCAGTGCGCTCCCAAGGGCACCCGCACAGGCCCCTGGCTACAGAGGGGCCCCCTTCACTCAGCACTACCGCCCCAAGTTCTCCAACAGGCCTCCTCCAAGGGCAGCAGCCCTCTCCTGCGGCCTCCTCTTCACTGAGGGGTGCAAAAGAAACCACTGGAAACCAAAACAAGCCCCAGATACCTCATGTGTTATGATTAGTACATGGCCCCTTACAGAAAACGTTAAAAGACAAAGGACAAGACCACACACCCTCCCAGGACACTAGAGGGAGAACAGAAAGACAAGTTCAGCACAAGGCAGACCACTCCTCTGCACTGACATTCTCATTTGCTGTCAAGAAACACGGTTACTGAAGCCATTTTCTACGTGTGCGGAGCCCTGAAGGTTAGGGTCACGGCCAAGTCACACTTATCAGTGCTCCCGCCTAGCCACACAGCCGCCCTCCCGGGACCCAGCCGTAAGGGCTGGCTCACCGTGTTAACTGGGCAAGGGAAAGCCAAGTGCCCAGAGCGCTCCCCCTACAGGCCAGCCAGACACAGCGCAGCGCGCCGCTCTCCAGCGGCCTCTCCAACCAGCCGGCGTCCTGGAAACCCCAGCTTTGAGCAGAGTTCCTCATTTTTAAAACCAGTAAACATGCCAAGAAAAAAGAGGCACAAGGGAAATTGGGTGAGCAGCGGAAATAATTTTGTGATATAAAACTATTTTGCATTTCAGTGTCAATTTCCTGACGAGGTGGGCATTCAGCCTAGAAGCCGACATGCCAGTCAGGACACCCGCGACCCACCTCGGAGTCCCTGGGTTCAAGCCCCGACTCCTGCTCCTGAGCCCGGCTTCCTGCTAATGCAGACCCTGGGGGTGGCAGTGACGGCTCCTGCCCTCCACATGCCGACCTGGACTGGGCTGCAGCACTCACTCACTCATCTCTCTCAACTCTTTAACAATCATGTTTCTCACAGGCAATTCCTCATTCTACTTATCAGATTCATTCCTTTTTCAAGTTAAAAATGCTTCTTCCCAGAGGCCTGACTCCGACCCAAGCAACTAAACGAGGGAAAAGCTCAACTGGACGCCCCTCTAGATGGCTAACTCCTATCGCTGCAAGTCATCTTCATCTGACGTGAGAGAATTCAAGCTCTGTTAGAGAAGGAAATGGAATTCTTTTAACCACCAAATTACCATAAATTGTATATAAGCTAAAAAAAATGCATACTGTGAGAAAGTCCTGCTCAAATTTGTACGCTCCACCTCCAGTGGCACAAAAGACAGTGTGGAGACTCGAGAAGTTTTTATCTCTGCCCATCTGGATAAAGGCGGGCATGTCATGAGTGGGAAAGCGGATAAAGTGCAGGTCGCCTTTGCGCCCGCACAGAGTCAGGTCCTTCAGCTCCAGGTGCACGTCCCGAATACCCGTGGAGCCGTACGCCACGTTGGAGGTCAGGTACTTCCGAATGCTCTTAAGGCTTTCCACTTCTTCCTCTTCTTCTTCAGCAGTGATGTCTTTGGGTTCAAAATAAACCAGCTTGACCAGGGTTCCACCAATATCCAAGCCAAACCACGGAAAGACTACACGGGGAAGGGAGACAAGAGTCAGAACAGCCTGTTTCCTGAAAGCCGAACCCACACTTACTACATTAGTCACTTAAGATGGCCTACCCTGTGGTTTCCCAGGGTTGCACAAAAAGGTTTGGGGGAAAGAAATGATTCTGATTTGGAAGCATGTCTTTATTATTTATTTTTTTTGGAAGCATGTCTTAAAAACAAAAAACTAGGACAGAAATTAAAACACACCCCCCCCAAAGCACTGGCCCAATACACTCTTTCTGTACAGATAAGCCCAAACTACACTATCAAACACCTTAAAAAATAACTAAATAACCACTCATAAACTTCAAATGTGAGAAACAGAGACTTCAGCGCTTCAGTTTAGTGGCCAAACTAGAGAAGGAATCCGAACCCCACGCATGGAAGCCCCTGAGGTGGATTCCTTCCTCCAAGCACAACAGGCGGTCTTTAGTGGCACAGCTTCAGGTGTCCCAGCCCAGATGCTGTGGGAATATGAGAAGTGAACCAACCCCAATTTAAGATCTCTCTTGTTCTACCTTTTAATTTAAAAATTTAAAAAATCTGTGCATTAAGAAAAAACCTCGCATACTGAACATAAAAGGTGTTTTAGTATCTGTTCCCAAAGAAGATTAGACGGAGACGGACCGAAAAGACACTCAAGTCCTCCCCTCCTGCCCCGAACTGCTGGCACAACAGGCTAACCCAAAGCCAGCATCCCACATGGGTACTGCTTCATGTCCCAGCCACTCTGCTTTGACCCAGCTAACGGCTGGGAAAGCAATGGAAGACGGCCCAAGCCCTTGGGTCCCTGCACCCACATGGGAGACCCAGAAGAAGCTCCTGGCTCCCAACCTCAGATTGGCTCAGCTCTGGCCACTGTAGCCACTTAGGAAGCAAACCAGCAGATGGAGATCTTCCCCATCACCTCCCCCGCTTCAAGTAACATAAATAAATTTTTAAATATATATAAATATAGATAGATACACTGATCTATTTATTCTAAACAATTCTGGGCAATGAGAAGCAACACCACCGGCTGACAAGGGCAGTGATAGCTGAGGACCTTCCAGCTGAGGAATGGGGTACACAGGCAGGAGTGCCCACCCTGCAAACAGCCATGGGGAGCTGGAGGAGAAACACGCTTGGGGCACCGGGGTAGCACCCCTCCCCACTACCAAAAATGACTGCCAAGACTTGAATCAGGATACAGCAGGCTACTGAGCAGCCTGCAGCACTTGACTCCCAGATCAGTGCCCGGGCTCAAACCCTAGACACTCTAGGTCCAGCTGGACACAGCAAATCCTGGGTCACATACTTGAGTTCCTGGCACCCAAGTGTAAGAGCCAGACACAGCTCCTGACTCTGCTTCAGGCTGGCACAGTTCCAGCTGCTGGTGGCTGTTTGGGCAGTGAAACAGAGGATGTTAGCTCTCTCCCTGTCACTTTAAAAAAGAGAGAGAGAGACTGCTAGCTATGGCATGGTTATAAGAATTATGTGATAAAACTATTTACAAGGGACAAGCCCAGTGGCACAGCGGCTTACGCCACTACCTGCAATAGGCGAGCTGCTCGGAGTTACGGATACGCCGCTTCTGATCGAGCTTCCTGCTAACATTCCTGAAAAGGCAGTAACAAACAGCCCAAGTACTTGGCCCCTGTCACTCAGGAGACCAGGATGGAGCTCCGTGCTCCTGGCTTCAGCCTGGCCCAGCCCTGACTGCTGCAGCCATTTCGGGGGAATAAACCAGCAAAAGAAGATCTCCTGTTTCTACTCTACCTTCCAAGTAAATAAAGAAATCATTTTTAAAAATTTCCAACTCAGCACGCATGCACAATGAGTATGAAAAGTTGGCTATATTTAAATAAAGTCTGTACAGGGAAGGCAGAAGTACAAACTACAGAACTAGAAAGTTTAGCACCTATCAGCTCCCCAGGAGAAGGGGGACCCCTCAGGTGGAAACCCAAGATGTTGCACAGAGCCAGTGGAGAAGGGAAGCTCCGCAAGCAGCCTCTGCAAGGTGGGGATCTGGAAGCAAACAATGGTGCGCACGCGCGCACACACACACACACACACACACACACACACACAGAGCAGACCTTCCCTCAGCAAGACAGAGCGTTGGCGCTGCAGCAGCCCGGCCTCTCCCGGGAGAGCGCGGAGGACAGGGCTCAACCTGCAGGCTCACCAGCAGGTGCACATCCACTAATGCAACAATATCCAAGAACTTCAAATGTTCTTATGCATAAGCACAGGAACCATCACATGCTGACTTTTAGAAAAATAAGCAACCCAGAACCAAAACACTTACATGACTTCAGATCAAAGAAGGAAGAGAAAGAAAGGAGGAACTGAAAGCAAGCAGCAACTGTCTTGATGGGAAAAAAACAACAAACAATCCGATTAATTCTGAATAAGAATAGAGAATTGACCCTTAAATATGCACTAAAAAGTTAGTAGTTCCAGAAGACACACACACACACATACCTTCAAACCAGAAAAAGTAAATTATTCAAGAACAAGGAAAGAAAGTACAAAACTGAAGGGCCAGGAATGAATGGATGCACGCACACCAATGTGACTACCAAGAGAACACCCAGGGAAGCCATCCACAAGGGCCTCGTCAGAAGGAACTGGGTGTGGGACGAACAGCAGGTGCCACCTCCGGCCCCGAGGTGAAGTTACTGCCTGGGACCCCTCAGCTGGCATGCCAAGGCCTGGATCTGAGCCCTGCTCTGCTTTCAACTTCAGCTGCTTGCCAACCAACACCCCGAAAGGCAGCAGGTGCGGCTCAGGACTGAGTCCCCAGCTTCCGTTAGGCACCTGGGGACCGAACCGGCAGACAGAGCATCTCTTTTTGCTTTTCCAAATCAAGTAAATAAATAAGCAAACATTTAAAAAGTTACTTCTAGAAAAAAAAAAAAAAGATGGAATGGGCTTTCAAGCCAAATGATTTGTATGAACGTCTCCAACACCCTGGAGGAGCAGAGATGCAGGGAACCAAGGCCCCAGAGGGCCACTGCACCCAGCGCTGTGTCTGCTAAGCAGGCAGGTCCGGGCAGGACGGCGGCCCTCCCAACGAGGGCGGCCCCTATCCTTAATTCACACATTAACTCTACCACTCAAGTAAACACATCGAAAAAACAAAAATAACAGTGTGTACACACCCTTCCTTTAACTGACTTGCCAAATTTGTACATTTATAGAAGCAAAATAAATGCCTGGACAACTCTACCTGCTGTGTCCAACAAATGCCAACAGAGCCCAATACAGCACTGCAGACCGAACACCTCAAAGGGGTGGGGAGGTGTATGAGGCCCCTCAACCAGCTCAGCCACTGCCTGCACTGGTTTTTACTTGAAAGGCCGAGTTATAAGCAGAACAGATGCTTCTTCTGCCGGCTCACTCCCGCTGTTACCGGGTCACTCAAAGCCAGGCGTTTCCTCCCAGTTATCCAGATGGATGCAGGGGCCCAAGGACTTGAGCCATCCTCTGCTGCTTTCCCAGGCTGCAAGGCGGACTCAAACCAGCACCCAGCTGGGCCGCTGGAGCTGCAGGCAGAGGCTTTCCCTGGGTGCCTGCGCCCCAGTCACCCGCGGGGAAGGAGCAGATGAAGTCCTTGACTCCTGGCCTCCCTGCACCGCCTTATTCGCTGCAGGCATTGGGGACTGCACCAGCAAGCACAGCTCTCTGCCTCTCCCTTTCTTCATCACCCTGCCTTTCAAATAAACTTCTTAAAATAAAAACAAACCCACAGATGGGTATGAGATGAGAGACCTCAGAACTGTGTGGTTCATGTACACACACACAAAATATACAGAGGATCTGAGCATCACAGCGACTCAGTGGATACACTAAGCACAAACAAGTTTCTACCAGAAGCAAAAAGAAGACACTTTCTTTTCAGGTACCCACAAACTTTACAAAAATTAACTGCCTGTGGAGGGCACAATGGCTCAACTGGCTGGTTCTCTGCCTGCAAGGTGTGGGTTCGTGTCCTGGCTGCTCCCTGCTGGATGTGAAAGCAGTGGAAGACGGTCCAATGCCTTGGGACCCTGCACCCGCATGGGAGACCTGGCAAAGCTCCTGGCCCTGATTTCAAAGGAGCCCAGCTCTGGCCACGGTGGCCATTTAAGGAGTGAACCAGTGGGTGAAACATCCCTACATATAGCTCTTTCAAGCAACATAAATCTTCAAAACAAACAAAAAGGATGAACAGCCATTAAAAACAAAAATCAACTCCACACGCTTTAGAGAACCTCAACATTGAAGGCCTATACAATGGCTCATTGGCTAAACCCTCACCTTGCAAGCACCAGCATCCCATACGAGCCCCAGTTCATGTCCCAGCAGCTCCACTTCCCATCCAGCTCCCTGCTTGTGGCCTGGGAAGGCAGTGGAGGACGGCCCAAAGCCTTGAGACTCTGCACCCACATGGGAGACCCTGAAGAAGCTCCTGGCTCCTAGCTTCGGATCAGCTCATCTCTGGTCATTGCAGCCACTTCGGGGAGTGAACCAGCAGATGGATGGAAGATCTTTCTGTCTCTCTCTGTAATCTGCCTTTCCAATAAAAACAAATTAGGTTAAGGAAAAAAAGAAAACTTGAGAGGGGCCAGTGTTGTGTGGTATGAAAGATAGTGAGACAGAGAGCCTCCACTGGCTGGCTCACCCCGAAGCAGCTGTAACTTGGGCTGGGCCAGGCCACAGCCAGCAGCGCTCAGGTCGACCCTCAGGTGGGCAGCGGGCTCCAAACACGTAGACAATTTTCCACTGCTTTCCCAGACCGTTAGGGAGCTGGGCCAGAGGAGCAGCTGGGGAACAAGCTGGCCTCTATATAGGACGCACAGGTCACAGGCAGCAGCTGTACCAGCTTACACCACAGCACCGCTGGTCGGGGCTCAATGCCCACCCCAGGCCTTAATCTTCCACCAAAATATTATTCTTTAAATGCTGATTTTCCATGATCCTTCTGAAGTATCTTTATAAACACAAGACTTAACCTTCCTTTGATTCTTGCAGTTAAACAAAAGCATACTGGGGAGTCAGCAGTCAGCAAGCAGCTGCTGCACCTAGGGGCTGAAGGAGGGAGAGCTGGTCTCCTACTCCGCCTGACTTAATCCGAGAAGTGAGCAGACCACAGACGCCAGAAGCAAAGCCCTCCAACAGGAATACGTCTCAGTTCCTTGAAGGATGTTTCAAAACCACCTGTAATATTAACAGGCCTCCAACACACAGACGTGGCCACTTGTCGATGCTCTGAATACAACCTTCCTCCAGAGTCTGGTCCCAGACACAGCCCACCGCGCACTTGACAATAACCACAAACTCCAGGCGATCACCGGCAGGTCTGGTCTCAGAGAAAACCACTCAGTGAGCACAGTTTGAGGTCCAAGATAAGAAAGCCAGGTTTTCTGGGTTCCCCTTTGCCTCACCAGCACCTGGCAGGGCTGTGAGCCACAAGGACTCCATTCTGCGCAGAGCGCCGGCCCTGTGACAACCCAGAACGGCTGCTCCTCTCCACATCTCCACGAGGAAAATCAGAAACCAGAAAAGAAACGACTTGCTCAAGAATCAGGCGCTTCCCAAACACCATAAACACCAGGTTAACCAACTCCACAAATGCACAAACTGAAAACTGTTTTCCAACTCTCCCCCCAAGATGATGGAAAAAGGAGTCGGAGGCTCGCTCAGTCACCCAAACCGCAGGGGTGGAAGAGAAGGAACGGGGCGGCAGGGCCCAGGGTCTTCAACAAGGCCCCAGCCGGTAGCCCGCTCGCACAGGAACCCACAGACAGCCCGACTGACGGCCTGGAGAAAAGCATGCAGCACTCTGGACAAAGGGACCTGACGACAGAACGCACAGACGCACCGCCAGTGGGCAACTCCCTGAACAGCTTCCCCTCCACAGGGGCGGAATTACACAATTACAGACCCGAACCGTGAGCACCTGCAACTACGGGGCAGAGAAAAAAAAAAGAAAATACCACGGCGCTCTCCGGGTGAGAGCGGACGGCAGGCAGAGCTTAGGGTGCACGGGCCGCGGGAGGCAGCTGCAGGCCTGCAGCCTCGGGGGGCTGGGAGTCGACAGAGACCACGCCCGGGAGAGCAGTTCTCCGGTCAGCCTCGGAAGCAGGGCGCACGGATCATTCAATGGGTCCGGGGGAAGGGAGGCGGTGGGATCGAGTCCGGCCTGCGCGGGGGCTGCGCTCACGTGCCCCTCGGGCCGCCCGGGCACCTGGAGGGGCCCCGCGAGCGGCCGAACCCAACGGCGCGCACCGGGCGAGCGCACGCTCCGCGCGCCGGAGAAGGACAAACGGCGGCCGGGCCGGGAGGGGGGCACTTACGCGGCCGCTTCTTCCGGAGGCTTTCGGCGCGCGGGCGGGTCCCGGAGGCAGGGCCGCTGTAGGAGCCGGGCCGGACCCGCCTCACGCCCTGCGCCGCGGCCTCGACCGCCGGAGCCGACGCGCTGCTCGCCCGGCGCCGCAGCGGTTCCCGCCGCCGCCGCCCTTCGGGGGCCCCGGGCGCCGGCACCCCAGCCTCCGGGGCGGGGGCGTCGGCGGCCCCGCCGTGGCGCTCCATGGGCGCGCCTCGCTGGTCCGCTCCCATCCGCAGCAGCCGCCGCTGCCGCCCGAGCCAGCCCCCCAGCGCCGCGCTCGTCCGAGCCTCCCCGGCGGCGGGCAGTGCGGCCGCAGCGGAGGCGCACCCGCGGCTGGCCGCCTCTTCCGTTGCGCCAACACGCAGCGAGCCAATCCCAGCAGGCGGGAGGCGGTCCGAACACCTCGCGTCCAGTAGGTTGCGGGACTCGAGGCGGATGGACCTCGCCTCAGTCCAATCAGAGGCTTCCAGGACGCGGCGGAGGGAAGGATCCGGGCTCGGGGAGAAGGTGGTGTCTCCGAGAGGAGAGTGATGGAGACGCCGCCCAATGGGCGCCTGGAACGGCGGAGGGTTGGGGGCGTCCGCGCCCCCTTTTTGCCCAGCCGCCCACCCACAACGCGTGGGCAGTCGGGTCTCCGAGGCCCGGACCTCTCCCGGGACGCCGCTGCGTCCCGCTCCGGGGCACCGGGGCTCCCCGCAGCCCCTGCCCTGGCCGTTAGCACGCGGATGGACTCTTCGCGCGGCTGACCTGAGCCTTTGTCCCCCGGCCTGGTCCCTCCCCTCGGGCCGAGAAAGGCCCCAGGCTGGTCTCCACGGCAACAGGAGGCGGCGGGTCGTAAATCCTTCTCCGCCTTCCCGCAGCCAAGGAGGGATTGGTTGTGTGAATCGCCAAAGTAGACTTGGCCTTTTCAGGGAGGGACTCCCTTTGCTCCGCGGTGCCCGCTGGGCTAGCAGGTGGACATGGACTTGTTTTCTTCATTTCTTCCCATCCCCCGCAAAAAGAAAGGCAGGGGCAGGGTTAAGAAGGTTGAGCTGCTCCTGCTTCTTGAGCTGAAGTCCCACGCTCTCCCCAGATCAGCTCCGCGGCCTCTGTGGGCTGCCACCCAAGCGGGTTCCACAGGAAGGCCCGTGGCCCGGCACCCCTGGGAACACCCGTGGCCCAGCCGCAGCGCGCTCCTCCCCGGCCTCGGGCTTCCAAGCCTGTGAGTTCTGGAGCCCGTCCTAAAGGATGAAAAATCCCATGGCACCGTGACCTTTTCTTTTTCTTTTTTTTTAATTTGTTCAGTATTCATGTGTTTTATTAAAACTTGTATTGAAAAGTCAGATTACGGAGAAGGAAGAAATAAAGTTCTTCTATCCACTGGTTTACTCCCCAAGTGGCCACAAGAGCCGGAGCTGAGCCGATCCAAAGTCAGTAGTCAGAGGTTTCTTCTGGGTCTTGTACTTGGATGCAAGGACCCCAAGGCTTTGGGTCGTCCTTGACTGCTTTTCCAGGCCACAGGTAGGGAGCTGGATGGGAAGTGGGGCCACCAGGATTAGAAGCGGCACCCATATGGGATCTTGGCGCGTGCTAGGCACAGACTTTAGCCACTAGGCTACCGTGCCACACCTCTCTTTCAAAATAAATAAATATTTAAAAAAAAAAAAGAATAAAGATGGGGGAAAAAATTCTCATCTCTTACCTGCCATTATAAACCACAAGATTAGGCTTAGCACAATGGCACAGTGGCTAAATCTTCACCTTGCCCACGCCCAGCATCCCATGTTTATGTCCCGGCTGCTCCACTTCCCATCCAGCTCCCTGCTTGTGGCCTGGGAAAGCAGGCGAGGATGGCCTAAAGCCTTGGGACCCTGCACCTGCGTGGGAGACCCGGAAGAAGCTCCGAGTTCCTGGCTACAGATTGACTCAGCTCTGACCATACCAACAACTTAATGAGTGAATCAGCAGATGAAGATCTTCCTCTCTGTATATCTGACTTTCCAATAAAAGTAAATAAATCTTGAAAAAGCAGCAGCAGCAGCAGCACAGGCTGTCACAGCAAGCATCTACTCGGATTCCAGAGCAGTAACTTGCAGGGTGGGTCTCGAGCAAGGTGTACAGCCCCTGCCAGGAATGCTGGCGTCCCGCACAGGGCACCAGTTCAGCTGCTGCATGTGCCACTTCTGCCCCAGCTTCCTGCTGACATGCCTGGGAAAGCAGCCAGGATGACCCAAGCCCTTGGGCCCCTGCATTCCCATGGGAGTGGACGGAGCTCTAGGCCCTTGGCTTGGGCCGGGCCCACTCCTGGCCATGGTGCCCTTTGGGGAGTGACCCAGTGACAGTCTCTTCTCTGTCTGTAACTCTGCCTTTCAAATGAATAAATCTTGTTTAAAAAGCAAATCTAGAGTCTTTTCAGTGACAAAACATCCTACAGAACACTCATCTACCGTAGTGCTTAATATGAGGTAAAAACACTAACATTTAGGCTTAAACTGTGTTTGTGAGAGAGACCCCAGTTTCTGTGAATCAGGAATTGAGGAGTGACCCCTGGATGACCCTGACCCTGGGTGCTTGGCGAGGTGGCCATCATTTGAAAGAACAGTGACCTCCCGGATGCTGAAGTGAAGTTCATGGCAGGTGAATGGGTTCTGGCTGTTAACAAGAGCTCTCGGCTCACGCTGCAGGCATCGGCGAGGTCGGCTGTGTGTGCTCCCATCACAGCGGCTGGTCTTCCCCGGGAGCCGGTCATCCATGAGAGAAGGCAGACAGGGATGTTACGTCTGCATGGATATGAGGAGTGCATCTGGTAAACCACGCTGTGGCTTCGCAGTTCTGATTGATGAAGGTGATGGCCCTGGTCACAGCGGCTGGACCCACAAAGATACCTGGCAGTGGAGAGGGAGCCGCCAGAGACCACCCTGGCAGCTGCCCTCTGATCTTCAAGGACAGCGCATTTTCTTTTTAGGATTTGTTTCTTTTTATTGGAAAGGCAGATTTACAGACAAGAGAGACAGAAAGATCAATCATCTCTGGGTTCACTCCCAAAGTGGTCGCAACAGCTGGAGCTGAGCCAATTTGAAGCCAGAATCCAGGAGCTGCTTCCAGCTGTGCCAAGTGGGTGCAGGGTCCCAAGGCCTTAGGCCGTCCTCGACTGCTTCCCCAGGCCACAAGCAGGGAAGCGGAGCAGCCAGGGTATGAACCAGCGCCCATATGGGATCCTGGTGTTTGCGAAGTGAGGCGTTGACAAAGCACTGAGCCACTGGGCAGAGCCGAGAGTATGTGTTTTCATCTCTGCTTTCTAAGGGCCAAGCAAGGGAGGGGACAGAGCTCCCTGAGCTTCCATTGTCTTGCAGATCAAGCAAAGCTTGATAATAAATACTAAAACACCGCGAAGGCCAGCCCACACACAGGGTTTACAGAACCACTTCCTCCTCCTTCCATTGGCGACAGAAACAAGAAGGACGGCAATGAGCACCCCCCCCCTTTTCTTTTCCCCATGAAGAACTTGAGAAAACCTTATCTGCTCACGTTCTTCAAGGACAAAGGTATGAAGAGCATGCAGTTCTGAAGTCCCTAAAGGCTTGTCTGGGATCTGGCCCAGCGTCTACTCCTAAAGCAGGCCAGAAACGAATGTCACATGTGTGCACCCATCACACACAGGCCAGCCAGCAGGTGGCATTCAGTGGGTAGAACAAAGAAGACTCAAGATGAAATGGGATGTACTTGGAACTCACAGGGCTTGCACAATGGCTCAGTGGCTAAATCCTCACCTTGCGAGTGTCAGGATCCCATGGACTGGTTCATGTCCTAACTGCTCCACCTCCATCCAGCTCCTTGCTTGTGGCCTGGGAAAGCAGTAGAGGATGGCCCAAAGCCGAGGGTCCCTGCATGCAGCTCAGCTCGGCCTGTTGCAGCCGTTTGGGGAGTGAACCAGAGGACACTAGATCTTTCTGTCTCTCCTGTACATCTGACCAGCCTTTTCAATAATAATAGTAATAAATAGAATTCACACGGCCTGTAGTAGAAAGCTTCCTCTCCCTTTCTAGCTACCCTAAGGTTACCAGCTTTCACGTAGTTTTCAAGGTCATGGCCAATTTTGTCCCTTATGTGGATGCTGTGGAATTCCAGCTAAGCAGCCTGGCACTTCAGTAGCTGTTCCTCAGAGGAGCGATCTGAGCTCCAGTACCCTGAAGCAGCCTCTGAGAGCTTGTCCTTGCTGAGGGGCGTGACGAAGCTGGGCTGTGGAGCTCTCTTGCAAATGTAATGAAAACCTTCAAAATTCACCTGTGGGTATAAAAATCACTCGTTGGGAGCTGACCTGGCACAGCGAGTTAAGCAGCTTAGGACTTCTGCTGGCTGAGGTGCCCGTTGGTCCACTCCCACAGTGTGGCTTCCTGCAAGTGTGCATGGGAAAAGAACACACGGTGTACTTGAGCCGATTCCAACCGATAGCCGACCAGAGGGGAGTTCCTGGCTCCTGACTTCAGCCTGGACCATGCCCAGCTGCCACGGCCATCCGGGAAGTAAACCAGCAGGTGAGAAATTGCTTTGTTTCTGGCCCTACGCAATAGCGTAAGGTTTAAGGTCCTCGCCTTCAACACGCCAGGATCCCATATGGGTGCCGGAGCTAATCCCAGCAGCTTCTCTTCCCATCCCGCTGCCTGCTTGTGGCCTGGGAAAGCAGTCAAGGACGGCCCAAAGCCCTGGGACCCTGCACCCATGTGGGAGACCTGGAAAGAAGTTCCTGGCTCCTGGCTTCAAATCGCATTGCGCTCACTTGGGGAGTGAATCATTGGACAGAAGATCCTCCTCTCTGTACATCTGCCTTTCCAATAAAATAAAATATTTTTTTAAAAAAGAAAGAATTTGCTTTGTTTCTGTCTGTTGCTCTGTTCTTCAACTAAGTAGAAAAGTGAATCTCCCAAATCACTAGCTGCTCTTGTAAGGCAGTGGAGCTCTTTAAGCTACACTGAAAACTTGATGACTGGGAGAGTCAAGATGGCAGGATAGGGTAAGGACGCATTTAAACAGATGAAAAAACATGAGCCAGTGTGAAGGAGAGAGGGCACATTCCAGGAAACAGGAGAGGACAGAATGACAGCAGAGGGACACCTGGAGACTGACAGACACCCAGCAGCATTCAACGAGCAGCAATCAGAACTCCACCAGCAGCCAGAACTCCACCAGCAACAAGATGGGAAGGGACGTTTGCCAGGAGCTCCAGAGATGAACCCAGACAAAGAACCGCCTGTCCTGCTGGTCTGTTCGATTTGATAAAGAGCACAGACAGTGCAGCA